ACTTGAACTTTATAGAAAATAATTTTTTCATTACCTCCCTTTATTTACATGAAATGTTAAATTCGGTAATATTTTTATAAATAATGCTTTTTGGAACCTATTTTAAATTTTAGTAAAACAATACCTCCGATGGTTTATATATGTTCCGTAACGACGTTTTTCAGTAGCTTACTTTAAAAGCTTTTAGTATACAAACGGAGCAAATGGTGTGTGTTAAACTACCCCACAATCTGTCCAAAATACTGAACTGAACATAAGAACCGTTGTTTAATTAAATGAGAATTTCAATTTTTTACCACAAAAAATGCTTCATATATATAAGAATGGCTGTTTTTGATGATTAGATCTATTTATAATTTTTAGAAATGTAAATCTATACAGTACTGCAGTAAAGTAAAAAAATACCCCAGACATTGGACAAGATATTTTATGGCAGAAGAGACTGAAAAAAGAACAAATGATACAGAAAACAATGTAGGTATCTAAAATCATGTCACCGTTTCACATTGTTATTAAATCGCCAGATTTCGCATTGAATATTGTGGTTTTCTCAATCGCTACCCGTGTATAATGTAGTACTTTGACTATAAGTAAGCGATATTTGTCATATCAATAATGCTTAAAAAAGTTTATCTCAATAATGCTAAAAAAGTTCTAAACTCCTCACAGCGGTAACGCTTTGCTATTTCAACAGTTTTTTTGCTGTACTGATCAGGGGAAGTAGCCGCTGCGAGGAGTTTAAAAAATCATCGAGTTGTCTCCCTTCCCGTCATTTATTTGCCATGAATGTGTTCTTATTTATTATACAAGTTATTTGTTAACTGATATACTAAAATTAATTCAAAATCCCACAATATTCATGTTTACTCGTTGAACACTACTTAAGCCGAATGCAAGGCGATGCTAAGAGGCGTATATGGTAATTGCATTTCCCAAAACCATCTCTGGACAGGCTCAATCAAACAGCGTACATAACTTTTTATTTAACCGTTTCGGTCGTGTATTAGAGTATTCGTTTTTTTCTATGTTGTAAATAAACAAAACTATATATCAATAAATAGGGATATGAAGTACACCCAGAAAAAAATGAACACCTTTGTCCTTATGTTCAGCTCTTAATGCTGGCACACGGAACCGCTTCTTCTTTATCATGGAGGTTAACAAACATAAATGAGCCGTGTCACGACAAAACCAACATAGTGCGTTTGCGACCAGCATGGATCCAGACCAGCCTGCGCATCCGCGCATTCTGATCAGGATCCATGCTGTTCTCTATCAGTTCCTATACTTGTAATAGAGTTGGTTAACGAACAGCATGGATCTTGATCAGACTGCGCGGATGCGCAGGCTGGTCTGGATTCATGCTGGTCGCAAACGCACTATATTGGTGTTGTCGTGACGCGGCTCTAATGATATTGTCTTAAATTTACCATTGCTGAATAGGACATACTTTTATTTCGGAATTAAACAAGGTACTTCACTACAAATTTGTTTGGTTCTTCAGACCAGGGTCCTTCAAACAGATTTGTAAGACCTTGTTCAGACCGAAGCAAATAATGTACGTCTTCGACTAGTTTTGAAGTTCGTTTTGTTTTAATTAATATGTTTCGCACTTATTTTGGTGAAGTTTATACTCTTATTAAAGAATTAATCTTTAAAATTTATTTGAGAGAAGATGAGAATAAAAGAAGGCAATAAGTAAGATCTTTGATTGATTAAACTACTCTGACATACTGAATTAAATAAATTAACTTCACCTGCAAAAAAGTAATTCGGATTATAATCAATAAAAGTCATTTCAATGCCATAAGCTCACTACACAAATCGGGAAGAAAAAAACACAGTGCTTTACATATCTGTGTAGACAATTTTGCAAGCACTCGGTCATTTTTCATTAAAATATACTGCAAAAATGAAAGAAGAGTAGGTATAAAACAATGGGAACAGTATTGATCGAATTAACGACAGTGGTCTCATTTTAGACCATCACTTAACCGACTGTGCTGTTGCGGATGTAAAGACAACCTGTTAAGCTAATGTGACTTTTCAAAAGTTATTTACTCCATATTAATTCTCGTAAACTTCACGGACAGAACCGAAGTGGTATCGACTAATTAAATGAGTGCTATAATGTATTCATAAATGAAAGGTAAAAAAATCTAAATAATGTTAGTACCATTAAGTAAATTATGTAAGTACTGACACTATAACATTTAAAATCACCGAACAGGCTTTTGATTTTTAGGTGAGGTGCAATGTGGTATTAGTGAGGTCTATCCATGGATCACAAGTTCAGTACAAATTTCTGGTATAAATGCTAAACAATACAATGATAAAGTCTGCATTTATTTAATACTTGTATTTCTCAGGCAATACTTGTATTTCTCAGGCACACATTTCACACTGAAATGCGACCCCACTTAAGTCAAATATGCGTCCTTCCATAAAATTCACCACCGTGGACATGAGTCACATCCAAGTCACTCATGCATTTTCCTTAAACTCACTGGAATTACAACCAGGACAGACCTCTCTTTCATCGAAATCACTTTCATCCATGTGTGGAAAATCACTGTCACTTTTGTTTGGGTTGTCAGACTAAACAAATAATGATAGCGAAATTTCAGACCCTGATGCTGTAAATTGCAAATGCCGAAAGTAGTCCGCTTTTTTGAAGTGGTTACTTCCCTTTATATGTACACTAACGCCGAAAAATTCAGGGGAGATCACTGCGTAAAGATTGTCAAATGACAGGCGCATTAATTTTCAAGTAAAATAGTTCCCGAGTGGTCGAAGATTTCTTGATTGTTTTATTCTTTATAGATAAACATGCTTATAGTAAGCTCCATGATTATTTACATCTGTGTTAAACAACAGGTTTAGCGTCGAAATAATAAGAGTTACAAACCCTAATTTAGAATAATATGGTTTTCTTTAGGCCGTAAACATATAACTGCACCGTGCTAATTCTGCAAATGCAACAATAAATTTATTAAAGCAATAAATTGAAACACTGAATTAAAAAATATATCAGGTTAAGCCTTTGCCTCTAAGTGTGACCTTGACCTTGGAGGTAGGGTGCAGGTGTTATGCATGACATATCGTCTTATTATTGTAACTATTTGTGCCAAGTATTTTCAAAATCCTTTGAACTATGAAGAAGTTATAAATGGAACACAAAACATACCCTATTACAGACTATGTTAATCTTTGACCTCTAAGTGTGACCTTGGAGGTAGGGACCCATGTTTTGCACCTAACATATCGTCTTATTAAACATATCGTCTTATTATTGTGGTTATTTGTGCAAATTACTTTTTTTAATCCCTTGATCTATAAAAAAGTTATGGACTGGACACAAAATATACCCTGTAACAGACTCTGTAAATATTTGACCTCTACATGTGACCTTGACCTTGGAGGTAGGGACATTAGTGTTACGCATGACATATCATCTTATCATTGTGACTATTTGTGTCAAGTATTTTCAAAATCCCTTGATCTATGAAGAAGTTATGGACGGGACACATAATATACCATATAACAGACTCTGTTAAAATTTTATTCATAAAAATTCTAAGTTCAAGGGAGGTAATTCTGATAATTTTTGTGCTAGAGTTGTAAACCTTGTCACATATGATGTGGTTGATGACCAGATACTTATATTTAAAGTTCGAAGTAAACACCTTAAGAAATAAAGAACTTATAGTGAAAAAGCTTAAAAATAAAAATCAGAAATCTTGAAATTCAGTCTATTTGTTGCCATAGCAACCAGAATTTTTCAACGTAAAAAGAAAAGAAAAAGACGTGCATAATCTCCATACTGCCATCTACCGATATGTCAAGTTTCATTAAAATATTTTCAGTACTTTTTGAGTTATCACTGGATCCAGTTTATGTGTTAAATTTGCCATATTTTCAGACTATTAGTTGCCATAGCAACCAGAATTTTCAACATATGAAGAAAAGAAAAAGACGTGCATAATCTCCATACTGCCATCTATCCATATATGAAGTTTCATTAAAATATTTTCAGTACTTTTTGCGTTATCGCGGGATCCAGTTTTGTGGACGGACGGACGGACTGACAGACAGACAGACAGACGGACGGACAGAGGGTAAACCTAAAGTCCCCTCCGGTTAAACCGGTAGGGAACTAAAACATTCAACTGTTATAGAAAGGTGAAAAGCCTACTATATGGTGTCGGCCTAGTGAATTTTCGTATTCTTTGTTCTATAGTAAATCAGTCACATTTGAGGCTTAATTTTCGATTCCACTGTTCTCGATGAATTATATACTGTCTTCATTTTTAAACATCCACACTATCTATGTTAAATGAAGAATTTAAGAATGGAAATAAATTTTGCTTTTGAGTGCTGTCTGTTTTAAAACTATTGCAAGGTATGTCGTTAAGATGTTTGTAATTAATTAATCACTCATACCTACGGCCTTCAAGATCATATAACTGTGCATCTGAACTCCATACCGTGCTATATTATATAACACCGAACACTCAAGATCAAGATCTGTTTCCTAAATCAATCCTGGAAATATTTTTTTAATAGGGTCTGAAATAAAACGTTTCATCAATTGTATATAATAATTCATTCCTTTCAATTTGATTTATTATAAAATATATTTGTTCATTTATTACCTTTGTCGTATATCCGACACCGTGGTGACCGCGCGTTATTTGCCCTTACCTCGCGGGGAAGGGGGGATCACGTGACTTTGAATAGTAAGTAATACAAACCGGTAAAGGCGACTTCTGAGCCTCGGTAAGTTCATTTAATTTTATAAATTTAGGTGAGTCCAAACTAAAGCTAGCCTATTATATGCACAGTAACTTTCTTTAAATATTAATACAAAGTAAATAAAAATAAGCTTTCTAAATGAATTTGTCGTATTTTTCTTTAAATTTACACAAAACTGTGTTCGTACAAAATATGCATAAGGTCTCATTATAAAACCAAACGATTCATACTACAATACAATACAGTACAATATAATATCTTTATTTCACTCAAGACATGCGCAATAAATACATAACATAACATATTCTAATTTATAGTGTCATTCTCAAGAACGGTGAATGAAAAAAAATCATACATAATTGTTCATATGGCATTATATATTTTAAACTTGCTAAGTATGTACGTTATTTCAATCAAAATAAGGAAGAAGAAGAAAAAGAAGAAGAAGAAGAGAAAAAAATACATGATATTTCTCAAGATATTTCTCACCAGTAATAACAACGGGAGAATAAACAAAATTGTTTAACCCAATATTTTCAGTTAGTATATAAACAAATTATTTCTTTAACAAATTCACAAAATTTTCTATATTCCACTTTTTTTTAAACGCTTGTTTTCCATTAATTCTTTATAAATAATGATATTCGGTCTGTTGTAATATTTTGCTTTTAACAAGCGCTTACGAGTGCCTTACAAAAAGAACATTCGAAGAGATAATGGAATTCTCTCTGTAATTTAAATTTTGTTTTAAAAAGTTTGTAATTTGCACATTTGCTCGAATTTTCAATATTTGAGTACCAATCATTCAAGAAAAGATCAGAAAGTTTCTGTTGTACAGTAGTTGATAACCATTTGGTGCGTCCAAATACCACTTACGCATGTAATAAAAATGTTTTTGCTATTTGTTAACCATAAAAATTTATTCTTTTGTACAGGGTTTAAATTTAAGTAGGTCATTTAAATAGAATGAGAACAGCAGGGGAGATAAATTTTCCCCTTGTCTAACGCCTATATTGCATATAGAAAGTCAGATTCATACCATTTACATAGACGCACGACATTGCATTTTCATACATTCTTTTAATGACATTAAGAAAGTTGCCTTTTATATTATTCATCGACAAAAGCACAATATAGAGTTTTTTTACAGCTTCAAAGATACTCGATAAGACAAGAAAGAAGAAACATATTATCTGTGTTTAAACCCACTTTCACTTTTACAGCTAGTTGATGAGTAAAATGAGACGTCATTGTTTCAGTTTGTACACGTACTCGTGTTGAGCGGGCCGATTATGACTTTAAGTTGACACGTGACACTCATAATGAGTTAAAATCATAGGCAATTTTGTTACTATATATAATAACAAGTGTATTTATAGGGAATGCAGCTTCCAAAACATGGTTTGTAGATATAGAAATAATTAGTAAAACTTTCTTGATTACAAAGTTCTGCAATAAAGGTATTTCACCCAAAGATGACCAATGTATATCTTTAAAAAGTACAAATTCGATTTAATATTTGTTCGATGTACGCCTGAACAACATAATTCTCAACATGTATATGCCACTGTTCACTTGAAACTGTCATATCCATTGTGTCAAGGTAAATAACTCTGTCTTTTACATCTTTAAACTCATTGATGATAAACGCTTGATAAATTCTAGAATAAGCGTCTGGCATCCATATCACATGATCAGTTGATTTGGAAAAAGAGTACGCATTTGGTCCTTTTATTATCACATGCGCGTTTTTATTTCTGTCTAAAAGCCCAATAATACCCTTTTTCATATCTTTTAAGGTTTCAAAAAATACACTAGAATGGTGGTTAAGGACATGTGCATACATATGTAAAACAATTATTGTTCTAGAGTGACTTTGTAGTTCATTTAGGTATGCGCCAAATGACTTAAAATAGTGTCTCGGCGTGTTCCGTGTGCAAAACGGAAGTGGATGAAGCTCCCAAGTGAGACTGAAATTTTGTGACCTATTTACACAGATTGCTGGACGATGTTTGCCACTAGTGGACCAATGATCTGTGATCCAATTACATGACACCAGAGATTCGAGCTCAGAAAAAATCTGTCTAAGAGTAGAGTCGCCAATGAGTATCAGACTTGTATTACGAAGGCACGTTTCGGTTTTTGTCAAATTGAAAGTAGCCCGGCTACTTTTATTTGTCAGATTGAAAGTAGTCCGGCAGATTTTGTTTGTCCATCGGCGACGGTAGAAATAACCAGTTGGTGATATTGTTTCCCATGAGGATTCTTTCGTGACGTCAGCACATTTGGCCAAGGGGACTAATACAGATTGATTGCTCTTGCCTAAAAGCAGAAATGAAATACATACAGTGTATACATATTGTTTCATTCTTTTTTTTGTGTATCCTTATTGGTTACATACATGTAGCAGTACAAACATTTTTTTCAATACGTTCGCACCAGACTGATTTCAAATTGTAATATTTTCTCTTTTGTTCGGACGTCTAAAATATACGAAATATATCATGTTCTTGAAGGATTTGAACATATTCGATTTTTTTCTTCAGTTCTTTTTTTAGAATTGTTTTTAAGTGGAGTGTGTTGGAAAGATGGAAAGAATGCACGCCGTGTGACGTCATCCTGGAATAACTATGTCGTAGATAACTGTGTTGTCTGCTTTCGTCAAGGATTGTCTGTCATTATCTAAAGTCTTTTGTGTCTTCTTCCGTGTCTTTCTTACAAATGAAATGACTGTGCGTCTGCGATCGTCATGGAAAGATTGAGTCGTCTGCAATCGTTAAAAAATGCATGTGTCGTCTGCGATCGTCAAAGAATGCATGTGTCGTTATCGATCGGCAAAGAATGCATGTGTCGTTATCGATCGTCAAAGAATGCATGTGTCGTTATCGATCGTCAAAGAAAGCATGTGTCGTCTGCGATCGTCAAAGAAAGCGTGTGTCGTCTGCGATCGTCAAAGAAAGCGTGTGTCGTTATCGATCGTCAAAGAACGCATGTGTCGCTATCGATCGTCAAAAAAAGCATGTGTCGTCTTCGAACGTCAAAGAAAGTATGTGTCGTCTTCAATCGTCAATTAAACTAGCATGTGTCGTCTGCGATCGTCAAAGAAAGCATGTGTCGTCTTCGATCGTCAAAGAATGCATGTGTTGTCTGCGATCGTCAATTAATGCATGTGTCGTCTGCGATCGTCAAAGAAAGCGTGTGTCGTTATCGATCGTCAAAGAACGCATGTGTCGCTATCGATCGTCAAAAAAAGCATGTGTCGTCTTCGAACGTCAAAGAAAGTATGTGTCGTCTTCAATCGTCAATTAAACTAGCATGTGTCGTCTGCGATCGTCAAAGAAAGCATGTGTCGTCGTGTCGTCTTCGATCGTCAAAGAATGCATGTGTCGTCTGCGATCGTCAAAGAATGCATGTGTCGTCTGCGATCGCCATGAGATGACTGTGTCATCAGTGATCGTTGCTGAAGGCACTTCGGAATAATGATTGAAATTCTAGCCTGCGGTTATTGAAACGAATTTGGATACATGCATTTTGTAAATTTTCTCACCTGTCGTAACAGTCAATATTAATTTCGAATCTAATTTCCTTGCTGTATAGTTTCTGAAATGAAGAAAAAAATACAAAAAAATACAAAGCTTTTTTTTAATACAATACAGAATGTTTAACTGAAACAAAAACATACAAGCATGACGCACAAATCAGGTTATGGACTTATAATAAATACTAAGTTATTAATGATGAAACCTGTCATCTTTACATTTTCATTTGAGTGATAATCCTGTACATTGTATATAGATCAAATATTTTTTAATTTACGTTTTGTTTTGCTGTACTTGAGATATCAACTTGAAACTTTATATGTACAGTGAGTGCACAAGGATAACGACTTTACTTTTCATAATTTTGAGCGATTGCCTTTTTTATTTTGTATGTTTTAAATACTAATTACTCAAAGAATATTTGAGTGGATAGATCTCAAAGATACGCATACAGAAGAAGTGCGGGATTTAATAATGAGGACTCATCCATTGTTGATAAAAAATGTAGCATTGCGCATGACCAACTGTAGACTATGGCACGATGGTGAAAACGCGATGGTACGATGATGAAAACTCAAAATCGTGTTTTCATCATCGTACCATCTTGCTTTCATCATCGTACCAGCGTGTTTTTATCATCGTACCATCGTGTTTTCATAATCGTACCATCGCGCTTTCGTGTTTTCACCATCGTACCATCGCGTTTTATCATCGTACCATCGCGCTATCGCGTTTTCACCATCGTATCCATCGTACATCGCGGGTTAGGACGAAATAAAAAAAATTATCACGATTGTCTAAAAGGAACACCGTAGAATTATATCCATGTATGTGCACTGGTTTTGGTGACCGAAAGGCGATGGTACGAGGGCGAAAATGCGATGGCACTATGGTGAAAAAGCGATGGTACAATGGTGAAAATGCGATGCTACGATGGTGAAAACACGATAACACGATGTTTCGATGGTGAAAATGCGTTGGAACGAAGGTGAAATCGCAATGGTATGCATACGATGATGAAAACGCCATATATATATAACATTGCGTTTTTACCATCGGAGCATTGCAATTTCACCATCGCAACATCGTATGTTCACCATCGTAACATCGTGATTCTTCATTTTGACATCGTATCATCGCGCTTGATACACCATCGTACCATCGTGCATCACAGGTAAGGACGAAATAAAAAAAATCAGGAATGTCCAAACGGAACACCGTACTGTAGTCCTATGTTGAATATGCGTAGGAATAATAATATCTGTCATATTTTGCGGTTCGGATCGGAATATCCGTCCCGAGGTGACCCGCCCAATGGGCGGTAACGAGGCTTGCCGAGTTACCGCCCATGGGCGGGTGACCGAGGGACGGATATTCCGATCCGAACCGCAAACATATGTCAGATATTTTTTCTTGCATATTCTACCATATTCCATTATATTTTAAATTTTTTATCTTTATTTTCAATGAAAATTTATATCATTACTAACGGAAACGCCAGTCTGTTATGCAAGAAATACACGGATTGTATTTATTAAGCCTTCGGCCAGCTCGCTGTAACTGATTGTATTCATGCACAGGCCAATATCAGCTGCAGCCTATCCACACCATCTGAACATGGTCTGCATTGTTCGCTCTTCAGTCGGCATATATATTTTTCGAAATTGTCCGTAAAATGTTGAATGGCCCGGTCCTACTTTAAAGACATACAAGTCTAAGTAATGAATTTAGGTTTAAAACGAATAATAAAAAAGATTAAAACTTACAGCGTCATGAGGTCATATTCAATGTTTGACAACAGGCGCTTTTCTTCTCCTCTTTGCCAGAGGTTGACGTCGGCAACCATTGTCCAGTCCTGACACATGAGCCGCTGATGTCTAAAATATAAATCTCAGTAACCTCAGTAAATGATTATCTAATCTGTTAAAATTTTAAAGAAAGTGAACTTATATTTTGATAATTTTCACTGAGAAATAATCAAAATTTAAATTAGTTAATTAGTACAGGTAGATCTACTTAATTATAACTTTCGTGAACGCAATGCCGAAAAAGATTACTTTGCAGTTTTTCCTTTACCATATAAATTCTATCTAAATACCTCGGTTTTCCACAAAACCATGGGCGGCCATAATTTTCTTGAGTAAAATTACACAACTCTTTATATCCGGGTACTTGACTGACGTAATTGCACGGGGTTTCTTCAACAACTGACGTCACGACTGGGTGTGTAAAGATGGCTGTATTCATGAGCACAGGCGGACACCAGTAACTGTAAAACAGACCCCAACAAATTCAAACGTTAAGACACAAAGAAAATCAAAGACAATAAAGATATGCCTTTTCTATGATTTTTATTTTTTTGGGATTTGAAGTCACACCTACACTCCAGCTTTAACTTGGGCAGAGTAGCACTACCGACTTTTCGTTAGTTATTCAAGCTTGACAGCTTCCCAAAGTCCCTGACGGGATTTGAACCGACAGCAGTAAGGGACAAGTAATTTGAATACGGCGACCTTAACTGCCGGGCTAGAGAGGTCTGTATGACACATTAGCAATGTACAAATATAGGGTCTTGATTGACTAGACTAGTTGTTTAATTAAATTATTTTCAAAATAAAAACGGGCTACCATAGTTTGCAAAGAAATGACGCTAACAGACTAACAAATTTATAAAGTTTATCTTAAGATATTGCTTTGAATGTTATCCACATCTTTTATTTGAGTAACAGCTCGCTTGTTTTAATTGAAATATAAAAATTACCGTCTTTTGAAAGCTGTTGATATCACCTCCCTTGGTGAAATGATTGCAATAACGATTTCCGGTTTACCTTCCCAGAAGGCTGTTAGAATGGCAGAATAACTTCCATTTTTATTATCAATTACATGACCAGTTGAACTTGCGCCAAGACTTGGTTCTTTCATCCAAACTCTTATCTGTAAATGGGATAAGAGGGCCGATACTTGTTGTAGATAGTTTTCCTTTTCCCAACATTTAAACTGAATTGTTTAATAGTGGCTGATTTTCGCCATGTCGTATTTTCGTTTTTTTCACAACGAAAATGGAAACAAAATAGCAAAAATACGAAGAAACTTAATAAGTTTGATGTATTGTTGTGTTTTCGCATTCTCGAGAAGAAAAAAAAACAAAACAAACAACTAAATAAACAACACTATGACCTGCATGGGCTTTAAATTTGTTTTGCCATTGCTTTTTCTTGGCAACAATTGCAACACGAAGATACGGCAAAGTCATGTTTTCGCTTTTTCGTAATCTTACATGTTCGCTTCGTTCCGGGTTCCGGTTGAACAAGTGCATGTGTACGTAGATATGCAATCTGGAGCCAAAAATATACATTTTATTTGTCCCTGTTGCAATATATCTGCACACAATCGTAACAAGCGGCTATTATCCAAAATTACCTTAACCGAAGTTTGACGGAAAGGGCCGAGAACATGCGATTGATCTGCACAATTGTAACCGTACGTCAAAAAGCGAAAAGAGCAAAAAAGCAAAACAGAAAAAAATGAAAAAGCAAAAATATAGGGTCACAATGCTAAAAGCAAAAACGTAAAAATGCTGAAAGCAAAAATGTTACATTATAAACAGAATCGATTATGCAAATAAATTAAGCATGCTAAAATTCAGTTGTATTTTGGCGATTCTTTGAGTTTTTGTAATTTCGTGGCGAAACGGCTAAAATACGACATTGCATAAATCAGCCAACATATGATATAATATTGTATGTCCATAATTTATAAGATTAAAATAAGAGCCGCTCTTCATGATGACATTGCTGTCAAGAGAAAAGACTATAAAAAAACTAAGAAATATATCATATATATACTGCATGGGTACAAGAGAAAATGCTATAAAAAAAACTAAAAAATATATCATATAAATATAATGCATGGGCATTTCTGTTTTACACCACGGTCGTCTGTTGTCTGTTGTTTTTTTTAGTAAAACAGCGAAATTTTCATCCAGGTGTGATAGAAGTAGATGTACACATTGCAGCTCCATTATTGAAAGTAATATATTTAGTAGTACAATACTGATTGTTCTACGAAAAATGTTATATATCTTGTCACATGTGATAATTATAAAGAGCAATATGTTTGTCAAACGAAGCAACAAATGTATGAAAAGAGTATCTTTTCTTCTGTACGGTTTTACCGAGCCACACTAGAAACTTCGAAATGCGCATGCGCATACGATCGCTGCCATGAAAAATCCACCGTTGCTTTCATGGACAGATTATGAGATACATTCGGACATCCTCTCATTTATAAATGAGCCGTGTCACGACAAAACCAACAAAGTGGGTTTTGCGACCAGCATGGATCCAGACCAGCCTGCGCATCCGCGCAGTCTGATCAGGATCCATTCTGTTCGCTTACAAACCCTATTACAAGTAGAGAAACTGATAGCGAACAGCATGGATCCTGATCAGACTGCACAGATGCGCAGGCCTGGTCTGGATCCATGCTGGTCGCAAACGCACTATGTTGGTTTTGTCGTGACGCGGCTCATTAATGTCTGCTGAATATTCTTACATATAATGTTACCTGGGTAGTCAGTCATAGATTCTACCTCTGTTGTTTGTTATATTTATATGTGTGACTCAGGGTGCCATGCAAAACTAGCTTATATATATGACGATCCTGGTAGTTCATCATCAAAACATAAAGTGGCATCGTGCTAGCACGTGAAAACCATGACAAAACCGTTCTTTATATGAAAAACGGAATAACAGAACTAGACTTTGATTTTTATGCAAGAATAGCGATACTGTACCATTTTTCGTACATTAACATCTACAGAAGCCCTCAAGCTTATGAAATCACTCACCCTACAGGGACTCGGGCTTTATTTGTGTCCTCGTGCTTCTGTAGACATTAATAATAGGTACAATTATCCTCTAATTAAGGATTATATTGGATGAGTTTTATTCTTGCATATCAGGCAGGATTATCTCCCGTAACACCCCCATGTAAGACAAGTCGCGTGCTCTAAATGACGTCATTGCCGCGCGTCTTTTATGAATGAATTGTATTCTAAGGATGACGTCATTTACCGTTCTGAAAGAAATTTGTAAGTTCATATGCTACTATAAGAAAAAAGTGCGTAATGAAAATGTCAGTTTTCGTAATTTCTGTTCCGAAAATAATGACATTTAATACCGGTATGCAAGAAAAAGAATCAAACACTGGCTATAGGTCCAGACAGGAATATTTAGCTCTCGGGTCACTGTTGAGCGGAAATTCGGCAGAGCCTCGTTACCGCCGTATACAGTTACCATCGAGCTAGAAATTCCGGTCTGTACCGGCAACCAGTGTACAAGATTCTTATAATACTGCACTTACAAGATCTCCTCCTTGTTGCTTCCTCTGTCCATATCCGTTATATAGTACTACTCTAACAGTCACTGTGTCACCGACGATGGCAACAGTTCTTCCTTCAATCCATGCCTTAGACTTTAATGGATCGGCCAACTCTAAAATGCTATCTGGTTCAGTATCATGCCTGAACTCTTCTTCCGGCCATATGGTTCCTTTTGGAGCGTGTGGGATCATTGTGCACGGTTCATACTCAATAAGTGGGTCATTGTACGGTATCTGGTTGTCCGGAAGTATGTCGTGTAGTCTAAGTCTGTGGATACAACTGTATGATTTAATATTTCAGATAAAAAAATGTAGAGGATATTGAATGAGCGTAAGTTTAATATTGAATGCATTGAACGAATTGGTAGGCAATTGCTACATTTATAACAAATGAGATTAATAAATTTAGTAATGAAGCTATCCGAATATAATATTCTAATTATCACAGATCTAAAATAAGAACTTTTAACAGTAAAAAAAAACAACAGCAGTACCACTTTTTTCATTGATGCAATTATTCGTATAAAGTGTAACGCTGCTAGCTCGCTAAACGTGTATGTATTTTGCTTATCACATACCCGTGCCGCTTTTGCGACTCCGTACAAAGGCCGTGCAAATAATTTGACGTGACGTCATTTGCGTTATAGAAACAAAGCGTAAAGGCGCGCTTAATGTTAGTTTTAAAAGTGCGTGAGTGAAAATTATTCTTTTTTTTACTTTAAACAGTCTTTAGTTTTGGTATGTGATAAAAAGAATATATAATATTTGTTGAAAAAAATAATATTATTCACGTCAGAGATCGCGTTTTATGAATTTATGCAACTCGTTCAATAAATTTAGTATTGAATCTATACCCATCCAATATCTTCTATATGATGTCACAAATCGGCGTGGTCATGTGATTTTATGTTTGTCATCAATCGAATTAACAAGACATGCTTTTTATACACACTGTATGTTTCAAATGCACAAAGACTGCTTTTCATGTTTCAATTTAACAAATTTACAAGAAATCATTTTATCACACACCCGTGCAGCTTAAACGATTCCGTAAAAATGGTATTGAACGGTCGTGCATATAATAATTATTTTGACGTGATGTCATTTTCGTTATATAAAAATAGCGTTAAGACGCGTTAAATGTTAACGTTAGACTATAGGCACGTCAATGAAAAATGGGTCTTAATGGAAATAAGTACTCATTTTCTTAAGGCCTATCCTGAAACTGCTGATTTTTGTTGTTGTTGCTACCGTTGTTGTTTTGTTTTTGAGGGTTTTTTTTAAGGAAAAATGTAGGATTTCATTTGGGCATTTTACAAAGGATTCAGAATACTATTCTTATCTTTTAAGGCCTACTCGTGTCCAGTAGAAAGCGATAGGGACCATCCTTTGCCACAACAGCCAGGCCAGGTATTACATCATGTAGCATGAACTTCACTACACTGTTGGCTGAATCAATCGGAACATATCGGCTATTATCAATAACAACATCGGAGTTATTGTTTGATTTTATTTACCTGTCAAATGCATACTGATGCACAGAATACATGTATATTGATTTTCGATAGATTTTCGGTAAGTTTGGTGAGATACAATGTATAAGCACAAACAAACAAAAATACGAAAAACAACAAAGGAAAAAAAATATTTTGAAAAAGAAATAATTCTTATATACTTATACCACGTGGTAAAAATTATCTTTATTCTTTCATTTATCACAGACAAGTTGTTTTGGGTGTTTTTTTTTTAAATTTTATATTTGATTATTTATTAATTTTTTACCTCGTCACTTAAACTCATACCATCCACGACATCCCTTTATCTCATTACAACTACCTAATTCCTTAATCTCATTACAACTACCTCGTCACTTTATCTAATTACATCTACCTCATCACTTTATCTCATACTATCCACGACATCCCTTTATCTCATTACAACTACCTCGTCACTTTATCTCATTACATCTACCTAATTCCTTTATCTCATTACAACTACCTCGTCACTTTATCTCATTACATCTACCTTATTCCTTTATCTCATTACAACTACATCGTCACTTTATCTCATTACAACTACCTAATTCCTTTATCTCATTACACTACCTCGTCACTTTATCTCATTACAACTACCTAATTCCTTTATCTCATTACATTTACCTCATTCCTTTATCTCATGACAACTATCTCGTCACTTTATCTCATACCATCCACGACATCCCTTTATCTCAATAACAACTACCTAATTCCTTTATCTCATTACATATACCTCGTCACTTTATCTCATTATAACTACCTAATTCCTTTATCTCATTACAACTACCTCGTCACCTTATCTCATTACAACTACCTAATTCCTTTATCTTATTACAACTACCTCATTCCTTTATCTCATTACAATTACCTCGTCACTTTATCTCATACCATCCACGACATCCCTTTATCTCATTACAACTACCTAATTCCTTTATCTCATTACATCTACCTCGTCACTTTATCTCATTACAACTACCTAATTCCTTTATATCATTACAACTACCTCGTCACTTTATCTCATTACAACTACCTAATTCCTTTATCTCATTACAACTACCTCGTCACTTTATCTCATTACAACTACCTCGTCACTTTATCTCATTACAACTACCTAATTCCTTTATCTCATTACAACTACCTAATTCCTTTATCTCATTACAACTACCTCATTCCTTTATCTCATTACAACTACCTCGTCACTTTATCTCATACCATCCACGACATCCCTTTATCTCATTACAACTATCTAATTCATTTATCTCATTACAACTACCTCGTCACTTTATCTCATTACATCTACCTCATCACTTTATCTCATTACATCTACCTCATTCCATTATCTTATTACAACTACCTCGTCACTTTATCTCATACCATCCACAACATCCCTTTATCTCATTACATCTACCTCATTCCTTTATCTCATTATATCTACCTCATCACTTTATCTCATACCATTTGACCTCCCCGATCACATCACAGCATGTGCAATTAAAATGTACACAATAATTTTTACTCGTATATTATCACAGTTTTGTTTTTGTTTTCTTTAAAACTTGACACCGCAACTTCTGTTCTTCCGCATGCTAAAATACGATTTTAAACATTTATGGTTCGAATCCCGCCGGGGACTGATACTTAAATGTGAGGAAGCAAAATACTTTCATGTGGGGAAGTTATCCAGCTACCTTACGGAACGTTGTTGATCCTAAGCTCAATCGTGCCTGGAATAATACAAGGAAGGGAACCAGGGGAATTTCACGAAAATCGCCATGTTGGTGTGACTCACCCACAATTCACCCACTCCAATTACCATGTTTCTTATTTTAGACATAACTGGCTGTACAAAGATATTAGATCATATCTTACACATCAATTATACTCCATACCATAAAGATAAATGACTTTTGGCATTATATTATCAACAAATCGATTAATTTTACCTTATTACCTAATGTTTGCCTAATTTGGCACTTAGCTCAAACTTGATAAGTTAAACTGCAAGACTTTAAAGGGATTTCACTGAAGTATTTTGACATGACGGGACTGTTAATATTTTTTTTTGAAGATTTATGTTCCATTTGATGAAAGTGTAGAACACTAGATCATTGCTCTTTTCACTCAAATCAGGCTAAGAAAAGCGCAAAAATAAGATTATCATTTTATTTCTGGGTATATTTCTTAACGATCTTTTGCAATTTCCTATGTTTTAAGTGTCCCAGCTGATGTATGTAAGAAATTCATATTTTACGTTTTAATGCTTTTAAAACTCAGTGGCGTCCCTTTAAACATTCTTCAGTTATGCAGTTATGGTCGACGTCACCGCCTTATCAAGCTATTTTAAGCGTCAAATATTATTCAAAAGAAAAACAGAAAAAGATCATTTTAAAGGAATGTTATAAGCTTTTGTTATTGTTATCGTTCTCCAACTATTGACAGATAGATTTGATAGAAACTGACGAAAATCTTAAGATAAAATGATTAGAAAAATCCAAACAAATTTTTGAAAGCAGGTGTCGTAAAATCTATATCTGGTAATATGTACATGCTCTTTATGAAATGAAAAATAAATCGTCAACAAAGATGTCCGTGTTGTTTGGATGAAATAAAGATATTTCGAATTTGTTCAAGGAACGCCAGAACGTTTAGATGAAAAATCTTACATTATTTGATCATGTTAAAAATGAAAAAAGAAAAGATTTCACAAGCTGTTAAATGCCCAATATGCAACAAAATTCTTACTTTCATTTATCTAAGACATTTAATATTTGGTGTCTTGTTTAGAGGAAAAGTACTCTTTGACCAAATAGATGAACCATGACTTTCTTTCTTTCTTTTTTTTCTTTTTTTCTTTCTTTCTTTCTTTCTTTTTTTCTTTCTGTCTTTTTTCTTTTTTTTTCTCTTTATTTTTTCTTTGTAATCGGTACAGTCTTAGTGTTTCATTATTTTGTATGGAAGTCAAAATACAAATTTGTTTACGTTTTACACATTTATAGCAAATTCTTTTACTTTCAGACCTACTTAGTTTCGGTAAAATCATCTCATATAAAAAAAAACCAAACATCATTATTTAACTCAAGTTTGCCCTTTATTTAAAAAAAAATTAAATATATTAATTTCTGAGGCATGATGTGTCTTTAAAGCTTTCTTTGTAATATCGGGTGTGGCATACCGCCGAGAGATGATTTATCTGTACAAAACTAATCACAAAACAAACAAAAACCCCATATAATATGTTCTAAAACAAAAAAAAAAAATACACGAAATTGCTCCGTTGTTGAACACAGTGAAGTAAATGCATCATTCCTCGCGAATGCGCAAACTGAGTAGAGCAAAACACATAATTTGTAATACTTATTTTTTAATGAAAATAGAAAGAAAACAAAGCATGTTTTGGTGGTACCTTAAATTTAAAAGAAAATGCGAAAAAAAAAAAGACGAGCAAATCATCGCTGTAACTATACAGATTTGAAGATTAAATAATCATTGAATTAATCTTATATAAATGCTTGAGATTATTTATCTATTTACAAGTTGCATATTTCACGCTTATTGAAATAATTGACCCATAACATATTCAGCCTGAAATAAAAAATAACATTTTATTTATGTCAAAAATTAATAAAAACATGAACTAGAAATCTTTTAACAAACTCTCAGTGATCACATGTTAATTAATGCTAAATTGGCTATCTAAATTGGACAATTTGTTCCTTATATGCCACGGATACTTTGTAGAATGTTGCATCATACAACCGGAAAAGTGTTTTAGTCTACCACGAGCTTGTCCCTCGGAAGAAAGTGCATGTCTTTATCTTTGACTGCGAACTCCTCTGTGTTGACAATCGCAACTTTTCGGCGCTTTCCGTCAGTCCTCGTATAAGGATCTCGCAACCGCAACTACTCGGCCATTTCCGTCAGTATTCGGATAAGGACCTCGAACACAATAATATGAATACACAGAACGTATGCGGTATCTCGGTCTAACCTACGCGTCCGTTGCTATGAAAAATCGACCGGAAGTAGTATTTCCCTAACATAGAAATATAGAAGAAGTTCATAGACAATTCCGAGTTATTTTAAGGTAAAAGGTAGAAAATTATATCAAATAGCTTTAAACAAAAATAGAAAAGATTCCTTTAAAGCTTTGTTGCGGCATGGAAAAGGAAATTGTTTAAGAATTCCCACTTACGGTGGGCCCGCTTACGGTCACGGACCTGATATTGAGATTTTTTTAAAGAAAATTTGGAATTATATCTTTTATTCAAATGGAAGTCAACTAAATTGTTGTTGATATAGTTCATAAAAAAGATAAAAGAAATTTTATAACATATACAATCGAGGTTAATAAGCATTCTGAAAAATAGTCAGAACAGACTCGGTGATAATGCATTTTTAGTGTTCATTTTACCTGATTTTATCCTTTATTTGACTGTGATGCAAAACAGATAATTTTTAAGTCACATAAATATATTGTAAATATGTCTGTCTTGTCGCTAACGAAGCACTCCAAACGGCATTTAAACAAATACAATTAAAAAATTGCATTAATGATATACTATGGTGACGGATTTGGAACGCTTTTGTGGGTCGTTTTGCCGCTAGCGACAGCACGACAAAAGCGCAAAACGGCGCTTTGTCTGACTTTCGTCCTGTCCTGTCGCTAAAAAAGCATTCCAAATCAGCCACCATAGTATATCATTAATGCACTTTTTACTTGTTCTTGTATTTGTTTAAATATATACATTTATTAGCGTAGGTTTGACCGAATTCGGTCTATATCCGAAGACTGACGGAAATGGCCGAGAAGTTGTCATCGCGATTGATGTTCTTATCCGATGATTGACGAGAAGGGCCGAACAGTTGCGATTGGTTAGTATTCCGAGCAAAAGTGAAATGATTATTTGGGGACAAAATTATCACAAGCAATAATCAATTGTACTGACATAAAGTTTTCATGTGGCAACTTGTTCAACTTTATTAATGTGTGCATCTTTCTTTTACACGTAGTTTTACCTGTGTAATGTCGCCCATTTTATTTATTTTATTATGTCTCCGATATGATTAAATATTTGAAAGCGTACTTCTTTAGAAAGGTCAAACATGAGTTTTATTACATTTAAATAATGGTTAAAGAGCAATAAAAATAAAAGCATTTCTGGGGCAAAATGGACCTTAAATAATCATGCTAATTTTAACATCACGGGAAAATGCCTCTATATTATTTTTCGAAAATTAACTAGATTTATCGGATATAATTGAGATTTGTTTCCGCTGATGTCTCGATTTTATCAGAGTTACAGATAAAGTACTCGAATACTCAACCACGACAAAATTATTGTTTAAATCTTATTTTTTTATGTTCCCATTTTCTAATATTACTAGAGATATAACTCCGGTTACTAGGGATATAAAATTTGCCTCACTCTATGGCTGTCTGTTATTGTTCTTTTTCAATTTATGTAACCATTTGGATAATATATACATGAGTTCACTTCGACTATATATGAATTGAAAACACCTTCTTATTAAACCGGAATCCATTATATTAATCCACAGTTACAATAAATGAAACCATACTGTCAGTGCATGAAACCGAGTGAGCAATAAATAAGTTGATTTTCTCAATATATGATTCCAATTCTTCAATATATGGTACCAAAGTAGCCATGTATGGAAACAGATGTCCTTATATGAAACCGAATTATCAATATATTAATTCATTTTTCAATATATGAAACCAATGTATCAATTTATGAAACCAAAGTAGAAATATAAAGTTGGTTATTCCAATTCTTCAATATATGGTACCAAAGTAGCCATATATGGAACCAGATGTCCTGATATGAAACCGAATTATCAATATATTAATTCATTTTTCAATATATGAAACCAATGTATCAATTTATGAAACCAAAGTAGAAATATAAAGTTGGTTATTCCAATTCTTCAATATATGGTACTAAAGTAGCCATATATGGAACCAGATGTCCTGATATGAAACCGAATTATCAATATATTAATTCATTTTTACAATATATGAAAACAATTTATCAATGTATGGAACCAAAGTAGCAATATATGAGTTGGTTATTACATTATACGATATAAGTTGATTTTCTCAATATATGATTCCAAGTACCAAAATAGCCATGTATGGAACCAGATGTCCTGATATGAAACCAAATTATCAATATATTAATTCATTTTAACAATATATGAAACCTATTTATCAATGTATGGAACAAAAGTAGAATATATGACTTGATTAACCAGATACCCTTATATGAAACCGAATTATCAATATATTATGTCATTTTTACAATATATGAAATCATTTTATTTATGTATGGAACCATCTACATATAGTAACTCACCCAGTTGTAAATTATAGCTATATACATATAGTAAAGACAATTGTGTCATTTTCTTCTTGATTGAAAACTTCAGTGTAATTTTAAAAACACCCCCTCTTCCCCGCTGTTCCCTCACCTCCTACCCCAACCTCACCTCCTACCCCAACCTCACCTCCTACCCCAACCTCACCTCCTGCCCCAACCTCACCTCCTGCCCCAACCTCACCTCATGCCACAACCTCACCTCCTACCCCAACCTCACCTCCTACCCCAACCTCATCTCCTACCCCAACCTCACCTCCTACCCAAACCTCACCTCCTACCCCAACCTCACCTCCTACCCCAACCTCACCTCCTACCCCAACCTCACCTCCCACCCCAACCTCACCTCCCACCCCAACCTCACCTCCCACCCCAACCTCACCTCCTACCCAACCTCACCTCCTACCCCAACCTCACCTCCCACCCCAACCTCACCTCCCACCCCAACCTCACCTCCCACCCCAACCTCACCTCCCACCCCAACCTCACCTCCCACCCCAACCTCACCTCCTACCCCACCCTCACCTCCTACCCCAACCACACCTCATACCCCAACCTCACCTCATACCCCAACCTCACCTCCTGCCCCAACCTCATCTCCTACCCCACCCTCACCTCCTACCCCAACCTCACCTCCTACCCCAACCTCACCTCCTACCCCAACCTCACCTCATACCCCAACCTCACCTCATACCCCAACCTCACCTCCTGCCCCAACCTCATCTCCTACCCCAACCTCACCTCATACCCCAACCTCACCTCATACCCCAACCTCACCTCCTGCCCCAACCTCACCTCATACCCCAACCTCACCTCCTGCCCCAACCTCATCTCCTACCCCAACCTCACCTCATACCCCAACCTCACCTCATACCCCAACCTCACCTCCTGCCCCAACCTCATCTCCTACCCCAACCTCATCTTCCCACACACATGATAACTACAAACAAACAATGACATAATTATATGGTGATACTTACTATGAACTATAAACAATTAAAATGGAAAAATGTGGCCAATTCTAAGATTTTCCAATATTCAGCTAAATGAACCAATCAAAATAAATAAGTGGGACAATTGTCTAAAGTGATAAAACCAGTCAAAATAAATGAGTGGGAGGGGGCAATTTTCCGAGGTGATGAAACCAGTCAAAATCAATGAAGGGGAGGGGGATGGGTTGGGGGGCATTGTCGGAGTAATGAGACACTCAAAATAAATTAGCGGGAAAACTGTCAGTGGTACTATTATGAGTCAAGGAAAAGTTCGTGGCTATGAAACGAGTCAAAATAAATCCGAGGTAGAGTAACAAGACTTTAATTTCACTTTTACCTGAACTTAGATTTGAATTTTTGTGACATTAAAATAGAACAGAACGGAACAGAGTTATTTGTGTGCCCGTATCCCGTTAGCTATTCAACAACAAAAAATGATCTGTATGGTAGGTTATGTACAAAGTTAACACATTTCCTGCGTAAGTTGAACTAAATTCCTGTAAACAAACATGAAAAATGGTGTTATTTGGCCTGTATAAATACATGCAATTTAAATGATAAAATGTCTCTGGGTTTTTCTCTTTTTTTATATGTGTAGATAACATATCTGACTTGGTCTGTATTAGGTGACAATTATCTAAATCATGCCAATGAAAAGAAGTCATTTTTTAATGTCACTTGTCAATTTCATATACTTTATCATTCATTCGTTCATTGATTGATTGATTCATTCATTTTTAATTACTTGTTTTATTCTTATGTCGCTTTTTTTTATTTATTAATTAATTAATTTTTGATTACTAGTTATACTTTTATTTCGTTTTATATATGTTTTATTTATTAATGGGACTCCACTGAGGTCCGAAAGCCTAAATAATAAATTTTGAAATTATTCCATAAATCAATTGCATCATCTAAAACAGAAAAATATGCAAAAGATAATATAGAACTATACTCAGTATTGAATTGATAATCAAGTTTTGTTTCGATTATTGGTCCACTTTGAGTGAAAAGCGTTGCAACGCTTTTCATTTTGGGGCCAATTTTGCATAATTAAAATGATATCGTAGGAAAACGGATCAGGCAAATGCTCTGAAATTTTGCACACAAGTTATTGATACAGATCTACATCCATTGGTACAAAAATCTTCAACAAATATTTTGGGTCCCTTCATGCCAAAAAACCTCAGTGGAGTCCCTTTAATTAATTCATTCATTTTCGGTTACTTGTTATATTTTTATGTCGCTTTTTATATTTTTATTAATAATTTTTATTTATTTTTGATTACTAGTTATACTTTTATTTCGCTTTATATATGTTTTATTTATTTATCAATTCATTCATTTTTTATTACTAGTTATATTTTTTGTCGCTTTTTTATTTTTTATTTATCAATCAATTAATTAATTTTATTTTGATTAATATCTATAATTATATTTTTGTGTTTTTTTATCTTTTATTTATTTATTAATTAATTCATTTTTGATTACTAGTTATATTTTAATGTCGCTTAAATTCTATTTATTTTTTTATTTATTTATTTATTTATTTTTGATCACTAGTTATATTATATGTCGCTTTTAAAATGTTTTCTTACTTTCAAATTAATTTTTTATTAAGATGACAATTAATACAACAAATGAAGTAGATTGTTGTTCTTTTAGAAATTCTTAAATACTGATCCTGTGTACATTTATTATACTATTTTGAAACTGTAACTTTGTGATACTATAGTGTATGCCTTTACGATCATTATGACTTAGTTTCCTTTTTTGTGCGCTTACAAACCCTATAACAAGTAGACTTACAGCATGGATCCTGATCAGATTGCGCGGATGCGCAGGCTGGTCTGGATCCATGCTGGTCGCAAACGCACTATGTTGGGTTTTTTTCCTGACGCGGCTCATATATAAAATTATTGAATTGAATTGAATATAGTAATATGTTCGGGGACAAAATAATATTCATCATCATATATTTAAATGTTCTTACTAAATTACATTGAACCCTGGTAACATTGTTTTTATTTATTTATTTATTTATTTATTTATTTATTTATTTATTTATTCATTCATTCATTTCTATTTAATTATTACTATTATTTATGGGGGGGGGGCAAGAATATCCAAGTGATACGATTTGATTTCACTGTTTTTTTTATCAATATTTGAAATAGGCATGGAAAATGTACTCATTGTACACCAATGATAAAGTAGGTCAAAAGCTATATACATTGCTTATGCTATATTGTTATACAACGTATGTACATTCCAACAATAAATAAATATTGACTTGACTTGACTAATCCACGAAATAAGGAAAGTCCTATGATGGACAGATAATATAAAGTTTATACACGTCGCTTATTCATCGTAGTGGAGAAAAAGAAAGACAGGTACATTTTGTAATAGAAAAAAATGCATGCATATTAGCTATATACGTTTGTGTAGCAAGGATAATATTTATAATAATGACCCAAGGTGCTACAAGTAAATACATGCATATAAATGAAAGATTGAGAAAAAAATGATGAAATAAAATGCGTATTTTCATTTTACGTACATGTATTTTCACTGTAAAAATTTATTTTTCACTGCAGTAAAACATTTTTTTCCGTATTTTCACTGGTGTCTTGCCGGGCTACTTTCTTCTAAATTCAGTCAATACATAAAATTAAAGGGATAGTCTTTCAAATTGTAATGTGTAAAAAGGGGAAATGTATATAATAAACAGAAAATTCAAGTTTTTTCTCCTGTAAATACAGACTTTATTTTCATTAAATGGTATGAAAATTATCATATATGTATTTCATTTGCGGCTACATCAACTTATGAAATATATATTTTCATACCACCCGATGAAAATAAATCCTGAATTTATAGAAAAAGAAACTTGAATAATCCTCTATATAGAACTTTTGTTACGTCGTTTTCAGTTTGACAATCATGAAAATTATATTTATACACGGCTGCTGTCAATTTATGAAGAAATCTCACTTTTTTCTTTAAAAAAAAAAAGATGCTTGTCCTATTTTAAATTCGTTATAGATTTTTCTGACAGGTTAATTTTTATATGACCGTATATATTAACGGTTGTTTGCTATATAACCGTTTTCATAGGGTCATATAACCTTTTAAAAAAAATCTTTATATTACTAATATAGTGTAGCGGTTGATAAATCAAAGGAGAAGAATTCAATTACCTACCTGAAATCAAAGATGGTTTCAATAGTTATCCAAATAACAATGGTAAAGAAAACTAGCGAAACAGTTCTTAAACATTTATTTGTTTTCACTCTAAGTTTAATCCAATTCTTTTCCATGGCAATTTATACGGAAACGAAAATAAAGAAACATGAATATTTTCGTTCTTAACTCTGTAAAAGAATGGTCAACAAGATTTAGTGGCTATAATAATTAAACTAGCCTTCTCCAAACAAAAGCGGATAAATATTTAAACTAAATAAAAGTTTACTTTCCGTCTATAAATGTGTGCACACCTATCTTTCGGCGAGAAATGACGTAATTTTGCAAAAAGCCTTGAATGCGAATGAATTGAACGCTACAGATATGTTGCGCTAGCGTTTCGATCATTATCACTTCGCAATCAAAATTGTAAATTAAAATGACCGAATCATTTATAAGGTTATCATAAAATACTATCTTAGTCAAAATACGTAAATAGTGTGAGCTTTAACCGCAATCAAAACTCAATAGCGACTGCCACCTGCGCAGAGCCAAGCCATTCTGCACATCTGTACAGTTTAACAAGATTATATACGGTCGGCTGACCAATGTCAAACTATACGGTCGGCTGTCAAATATAAAATTATTCGATCGACTGGCAAATATAAAACTTTACGATCGGGTGACCAATATTTTACGATCGGCTGACCAATATTAAATTCCACGGACGGCTGACAAATATCAAATTACACGATAGGCTGACAAATATCAAACTATACGGTCGGCTGACCGATATCATACCATACGATAGGCTGACAATTATCAAACTATACGGTTTGCTGACAAATATCAAACTAAATGGACGACTGACAAATATCAAATTCAACGGACGGACAAATATAAAACTTTACGATAGGCTGACAAATATCTAACTATACGGTCGGCTGACAAATATCAAACTAAACGGACGGCTGACAAATATAAAATTAAACGGTCGACTGGCAATTATCAAATTATACGGTAGACTGACAAATATCTAACTGTACGGTCGGTTGCCCAATATCAAATAATCATTTTCATGTCACTGGAATTTAAATCAATTTATCTCAGCACCACTGACAATATGTTTTAAATAAGAGCATTGTTTCCTAAATTTCATAAAATATAACATGAAGGCGCAATGCAGTAACTTTTGAAGCAAATGACATACATATTATCAAGTAGCAGACCTGTATGAAATGAAATTGTTTAAGAAACAGACCGAGATATATTTTCTCCCTCGACCATGAGGAGTTATAAGATATCAGCCTGAAGAATTCCATATTATTCTTAATTAGAGTTTGTAACCCTTTCGATGTATTTTGTTCACGGTAAACCTGTTGTTTAACACTGAAGTAAATAATCATGGAGCTGAATATAAGCATGTATATCTATAAGAATAACACAATATTAGAAATCTTCGACCAATCGGGAACTATTTTTACGTTACGAAAATTAATGCGCCTATCATTTGACAATCTTTACGCAATGATCTCCCCTTAATTTTTCGGCGTCAATGTACATATGAAGAGAAGTAACCGCTTCGAGGAGTTTGGACTACTTTCGGCATTAATTTTGCAAATAAGAACATCAGGGTCTGAAATTTCGCTACCATAATTTGTTTGATCTAACGACCCAAACAAATAAAAACACTTATCCCGTTTTCAATAAATCTTTAAACTTTTTTTACAATTATCTCAAGTACTATAGCCATTCTTTGGTGCGCTACATGATTTTTTAATACTCTTACTATTTCTTATCATAAAATTTTACCTTCTAGTCGACGGATTTTCTGCAAAAAATGGTCCGAGTGGGAGCATTTAGCAGGTGCGTAATGACGTAGTACCCTACCACTGTACAGTATAAGAAACGAGTTAGTTACGAGGATATAACACTGGCTGGGGCGACATCAAGGGATATTTCTGCTAAAAAACTATCGAGGCCGATAGCCGAAACGATTTTTTTGCAGAAATATCCCGAGATGTCACCCCAGCCAGTGTTATTACCCCGTAACTAACGAGTTTCATATATTATAACTGTTTTATCGCAATTTCACAAATTTGTTTTGTAAAAGAAATCAGCAAAACAAAACAAAAAGAAAAAAATAGAAACCCCAGGTAAAATGAACCAATACTATCTAATGCTGTCGTAAGCTATATAAAACAAGATATGCAACCCTTGAAAATTCAAAGACGTCAAATGTAAGAGCTAATACCTTGTGGAGAAAATTATATTGATTCAAGATTTAAGGACTTTTTTCTCAAGTGGAAATAATTCATTCAGCGGAAGTACCTTTTGATTTAAGCAGTTGTGTATATGAGAATAAATATTATTCGGAATGTTCGTTACCGATATAGCAAATGACTTTTTGTCCTAAATGAATAAATAAAAAACTGCACTGCTTTATATCAATGCAGTTTTCGATGCTCATTGAAGTGTACAGAGTATAATGAGTTAGTAAGAACAAAGAAAAAGTTCGAAACCATGCGATAAGTATTGCACGTTTGCGCTGCCAATAGCATTCAGACGTAATGACATATTTATTCGTTTTCATAACTTCATGCAAGACTGACTTCACTGTTCAATGATTTTAGTCAACATAATTTAAATTCAAAAAGCAGGCTTATACAGGCTTACGAATTTAGCACGATTATTAAATAAACAGTCGATTTTTTTTTCTTGTCCGTTCTCCGTGGCATATTGTTGGGGATGAGCAATGAGCCATGTTTTACTTTCTGTCAATCTGCCAACTACAGTGTCAATGTGTTATGCATTGTGGTAAATAAGGATGAACAAATATGTCAAACTTGCTTTGCGTTAACCCTTGCCGTATTTTAACATTTTAACGCACGGCGGCAACCCTGTGCCGTAATCTTAAATTTCTAGACATACCATGATGTCAACCCTAAGCCGTGATTTTGTATTTCAAAAACTATAGGGACAAATATTCTATATAGAGACTGTATAAAATATTTATCCTTATATTTTTGTCAAATTACTTGTGTAAGTTAATTACACTATATATGAACACATCCAAATGTGTCGGACCCCTTTGGTCAGTGGTAGAGAAAAAAATATGAAAAGGCGAGGTTATGTGATATGTACTAAAGCAAAAATCAGATGGCCGAGTGTTTTGATGTTTTTTCTTGGAACATCATAGCCAAAAATGAAACGGGTTTCAAGTCGTCGCAATAAGTAATATGAACGTAACTGCCCGATCTATCATTATTTATCATATTCACCAGTTAAAAAGACCATATTTATATCCCATTCAGACAACTTAGGTCCCAGAATGATTGATTGCTTAGCACTTGTTGTACCGCGTAGAAGGACTGTGACTTATGGTGATCGTGCTTTTATGACGGCAGCCCCTAAACTCTGGAATGCCCTACCTAGAACACTTAAAAGCTGTGAAACTCTAACAGTGTTTAAGAGAGCACTTAAAACTCACTTATTTAAGAGGTTTTATTTGGACTGATTATTTTTTAGGTTCTTACCTGTATTTTATTATTTATGTGGGTCTTTTTAACTTTTTAAACTATATTTGATTTTTATATTTTGTAAATATACTGTATAATAAATATCTTGGATATTTGCAGGTTTAGTGACAATGATGTATGCAGTAAGAATGGTACCAGTATCCAAACCATGATACGTGGGGATGTTAATTTAAAATTCCACATATAGTCCGAAAGTTTTAATTACTTCTTCCGCACTGTGTATCGATTGGCGCTGTTTTTAGCTTACAATAGATATACAATGTAATTGAAATACTCATAAATGTGGAGTTTATGTACATATGTGTAATAACTATCCAGAATTTTACACCTCTTCAGTCTGGCTTCATGTATAGTATAATTATACTAAACTAGTACAAAATATTTATTACATATCATTGCATATATGCTTTGCTCTCCAAAATTGGAGTATAGATTTATTTGTCGGTGTCACGTGATATGTCTGTTTTACATGGACTTTGCCGTATAAAAACTTTTTTACAGTACGCTGTTGACTTGATGATTTTTCAAGTTAAACTCAACATTGGAAACCTCAAACCGTGTGATCTGAAGGTTAATTTATAACAATGTAAACAATAATGGGTGTTTCAAACACTTGATGAAAGTTTGATCTTATGGTAAAGTAAATATAAATTGGTAGAAGTGCGGGGATTATAAATTACTTGTCAGTGTTATTAATGTTTATTCAATTGACCATTAAGCCCCTAAAAGCTATTAATATTCCATTCCTCTCGATCTCATAAGCTTTCAAAATACGTTAACAAAGCAAACCTTTGGCGCGAAAAAATGCAGGCATGCTTTATGTACTATAAAGGTAGTACATATATATATATATGCTATTTATCAGCTACAGTTTCGTATCGTGATCGATTTTGATAGAATAAATTGCAATGACTTCATTCTTTTCTCTTTGTATTTGTACCGTAAGTGTATATGTCAACAGAAATACATGTGTATACATGTACTTGTTATCGCTATTTCAAAGACAAATACAAAATCAGGATACGGTTTGTTACAGGGTATAATCAAAAAAGGTTTGTGGGGAATTCACCAATGACATTTAGTTACATATAGGCCTGACTTGGCATCATACCAAGTAACAAAAAAATATTAATAAAAAAAAAAAAGTTGTGAAACAAGCGTGAAAATGCGAAATTTGTGTCAATTTACAACCCATATATTTCATGGACAAAAACAAAATATTCTTGAAACAGTTTTATACAGTTTGGCGTAGTTGGTTTTGCTTATCTATTTATAGCTATAGGTAGATGATATGCTATACAAAAATGTGAATAATAAACATGCATTTAAACACAACATAAGGGATACAATGTAGTACAAAAATGACCTTTAACCTAACTGATGAAACAACCAATAGAAATTTCAAAAGTTTGTTTATCTGAAGAATGGAATGGAACAGTAATACAAAGGTGACCTCTGACCTAACTGAAAAAACAACTAATGAGAAAGGTTGTTTTAGCCATAAATTAAGATTTTATTGTAAACAAAATGCTTCATGAAAAATTAATTGTCCGGTTGTCCCACAACCAGTAATTTTCAAACATTTCACTTTTGCACTATTTGATGTAAATCGACTATAATTTTGTTGTTGGTCGAATAAAAGTTATGTTAGGTTATGAGTACCTGGAGGTGTGAATAAAGATAGTAGTCAGCCTGGTCTGTAAACCTATGGGTGCACCGGGGGGGGGGGGGGGGGGGGGGGCTTTTGTTCAACTAAATTGTTATTTTTAGATGGGGAGGCTTTTGTTCGGTGGGGGGAGGGCTTTTGTCCTACACTCATTAATATATGTATTATTTAAAATACAATACGAAGTTAAGAAATGCTTCACATTTACAACAAAAAGTCAAAATCAAACTTAGCTGCGAACAGGTTTTATAGTACTGCTTGACCTGTTCGCACAAACGTCAAAATAAAAACGACGTATAAACTGATAGAACTTTATTGATGCCAGAACTAAATCAAACTTTGCCAGCCCCGAGGGGTCTTCTACATGTACGAATCTTGGTGTACACAGTAGTCCAACTATGGATGGATGGATGGATGATGGCAACGTCTCTAAAAGATCTATCGTTACGCTAGTACTACATATGTCCTTGGACATCGACATAATTGGGTAGTCCGAGCGCTTGCTTATACTCGTACTGTTAGATAATCATTTCCAAGTCATATTTGGAATGTCAGTCACTTATTGTGTGAAAATGTCCAAGCTGAATATCTCAACAGCATGGTCATCACTTGTGACTATTTACTCTCAGCAGAATAGCCAAGTCTAGCGCCAAATGAAAGAACAAATTGGAGAGCACATCTTCCTTCCGAGCACGAAACTTGGGAGGCAGAACTTTGCAATCGAACCTGAAATTCCAGCGCAGACAGAGGCTTGTTTGCGTAAGCATTCCATTTCCGTGAGCCAGCTTTTTGATTAACGTAACACTCTTCTGTATATGCAGGAAGCTGACCTTGAAAACCCACAGAAGTGCAATAGAAGAGCAAAAATTAGACCTAGGGTTAGATACGTGCTTTGCACGAAAAAACGGAAATAGAATACCAGTTATTGAAGTGTGTTTTTCGTCTCACTGTACTATTGACTGACACTGACTTTTAATTTCAACTAATTTCATTTATCACAAAAAAAATAAAAAAATATATTTATATTTACTTAATATATATTATATCAGTTTTTATTTTTTGTGAGAAATGGAGGTAATTGAATTGAAAGCATATACCAAACATTTAAACATGTTTCAAATGAAAAATGCTAAATTTTACATGGTTTTGAGCACAGCTGTGGAATTCTACTTCTTTTTATTGATGTTAATGAATGATGCAGCAAAATGCCGTCGGAATGCGCCTCAGTCGCCGAAACGACGATTTCCTGTGTTCCACATTGTTTGGCAAATGAACATATAGTAGGCTTTTCACCTTTCTATAACTATAATTTTGATAGTGGATTTTTTTTTTTAATATAATTTCATCGGTGGTTTTGTATTTGGTACCTTATAGTAAGCCTTAGAGTGTTGAATTATTTTTTTTCCAGGGTTGTAGTAGAGGTCCAGGGGCAGAAAGGGGTGGGGTGTCCAAACACTGATACTGCCACCTGTGGTTTTGAGAGGTAGGAGGATTCTAGAGTGGGTGAGGGGGGGGCCCGGGGGTAGTGACCAATCGACGCGCCGAACACCTATGATCTGTGCATGACATGACCATTGAGTTAATTATAACTGTATATCGTATCATAGTTTGGGGACCTTTCTGTTGAATAAATCGTATACATATACATGCACAGTGCGGGTATTAGTTAACCGCACTTTAGAGCATGCCCATTAATTGGCTCATTTTTGCTGGGGTTTACTTATTGTGACGGCAGAGAAAGGGAAAGCGACAGGAGTATCGTATTTAGATGTTCGTTCATTGGTAACTTTTTGTTTTTGCCGGGGTTTCATATTGTGACAACAGGGAACGTGTTTTTTTTATATTTGACTATGATGCAAAAGAGAAAGAACATCAAAATATTAAAATTCGGGGGGGGGGTTGGAATTCGGTTGGGGGGGGGGGGGCTACGCTCCATTGTACTTGACAGCCTAGCTCGTGTTTCGATGTTCTTCCTATTACTATGATAAACAAACAATTAGCCACAAAAATACGAACATGTAGATCTAGCAATTGTTTTAACTAGATATATATGTACATATGTACATTCATGAACGTGTGTAAGTAAATGATACATGTATAAGTAGCAAGTCCTACAATGCAAGAGTTGATTATTGTATTTAGTTAGTACGTTGTTTTTGAATAAAACCTTTTGCACAGCGGCACGAATAATTTGGTATCTGTAATAAAGATAGCTCGGTATGAATGCTTATAAACAAATATTCGCATCAAATGACGTCAAAATCCCCATGCAGATAGTGCGTCCCTGAACAAATATTTAGGTATGCGAGAAGAAACAAAAGTACTTAAAAAATACCTAAAGGAACGTTTTTTCCCTGTTTTCATAAAACAAATTCATACACGTTAGATAACGGAGATATTTTGTTGTTAAACATTCCTACATTTTTTTCAACATAAAGATCTATATGAAAACAAGGTGATTCTTTCTAAAATAAAATAGCTCTATTATCATATACATATCGATATAATTGAAAGACTTTTTTTCTTCCGACTTCATATCTTAAAATCTGGAAACAAAGTAATCCCTCGGAAGCATATATCACAACAAAATTACAAGAGAATTGCAGACTTGGTTTGATTGAGTCTGTACATGAGGGATAATGAATATGTGCAACATCCCTCACGCCCCCTAGCACCGGCTTGAGCGGTACTTAATTCTCAACACTCAATTGTGCTGGCATCAATGATCCCGAAGGACCAGAAAATATAACAACACTGAAGTGAAGTACGGGGCAACTTTTTACAGCTGCCACACATCACTTGACACCTGCTCGCTGAAGCACGGATTTATAATATAAATCCGTGCCTGAAGACAGTACAGTAGCGCGGGACTTTTGACGAAAGTGAGCGAAAGTGACTTTTAGAATTTAAATTGTACCGTTTTAATAGATTTTTACAGTAAAAATTGCTGTTTGTAAACGTATATTATTAAATTAGCAACTTATTATATATATTATAATAAATAACCATAATCATGATTTAATCGCCATTTATTGGCCTAATTTCTATATACAGGTTCAGCGATCTTCCTTTCGCTCACATAGAAAAATACGAAAGTGACTTGTAAAGTATTATTGAATATAGAGTTTGAATTGAAAATGTACTTGAATTGTAGTTTGTAAACGTATATATTATCAGAAATTAATAATTTGATATTCAACACTATATTTCGATTAAACACTATATTTGATATTTTAGAAGTGACTTTCGTATTTTCTATGTGAGCAAAAGGAAAATTGCTGAACTTGTATATAGAAATTATGTAAAAATGGGGTAAAAATCATCATAATGATTATTTTTGAAAATAAATAATATACGCCTGAAAAATGCAATATTAGTATAACTTTCAATTCAACGCTTTATTTCATATTTCACAAGTCACTTTCGTCACAGACATACATACATTAAACTCCATGCTTTCGTATTTTTCAATGTAAGCGAAAGGAAGATCTCAGAACTTGTGTACAGTATAGAAATTATGCAAACAAATGGTGATTAAATCATCATAATTATTATTTTTTGAAAATAAATATTATAAATTGCTATAATAATATACGTGACGTCTACAAACAGAAAATTCACTGTAAAATTCTATTTAAACGTTAAAAGTCACTTTCGCTCACTTTCGTCAAAAATCTTACTTTCATATTTGAGGAATACCGCAGTACTTAGCGCGGAATGTGATGAAATTATTTGTAATAAAAGAAGCAAAATGTATACAGACTTCCATTCAGCGACTAACGTACACAATCACAATTTATAATTAAAAGCCGTGCTTGACGGTATTACAACAGTATCAAGAAAGTAGATAGGCCTAATAGTTCAGTGAGATAACATACCGATAACATGGACGGAACAAACGGGAAATAACCATTCTACGTAAACTTTACTTCCTGTTTCATTGTTGTTTTTATTTTGACAAGGAATTCTGTCATTTTCACAATGACAAATATTTCTAATTATAGTGTTATGGTAAATCTGTTTGCTTTTTCTTATATGAACAATATTTCCATACTGAAGTCCATCAGTCACATTCCTGAAAATTAAGAAGAGCCGTAAACGACAATTAAAACTAAAGGACGTGTCAAATTTTACTTTTCACTTTCAGATGATTTGTCGGTAGACTTGTGAACGACCGCTTGTGAACCTATTTTAGCTGTACTAAAGCTTCATTAGAGTTTGTACCTTTTGACATAATTATAGTGGTTGTGTAATCTTTGTTATAAATTAAATACCAAACATTTATGTTGAATCAAAGTTCAAAACAAATCAGTTTTATGGGGCTATGATTGGGAAGGCAGTGGCTAGACCACAAACAACAGATAGGAAACTCCGAAAATAGACGAGAGTCCGATTCAGAATCACAATCCTTTGCGCGCTTTGGTGATAATCGGGCTTTCCCGCTAGTCTCCGATTTTCACGCTATCATTAAACTTTGGCGATATCCGTGAATTATGGCTTACATTGCTGACATGGATTTTCATTGGAGAAATATTTGTGTGGAAAAGTTTGTTTTGTATGCTTTAGAAAAAATAACTGTTGGTTCTTTTATAAGTAAAAAATGATTAGTCTTTTTTAAATCTCGCGACATATGATAACTTGCGGTCACACAATTCCGCTGATACTGATTTTAACGGTTTCTTCTCTTATATCTTATCTTATATATTATATTTACCTCCATGGCTAGACGTATGGGCCAGTATGTCGTTTTTTTTTTAAATTTTGATGTTGCCTTTTTATTTATTATGTCTTCACAATTTTTTTTGTGAGACATACTGTTTTTGCCTTTACCGTCCCTGTGTCTATTTGAATTAGGCTTGTCTGGCTTTCACAGATCAAACTGCTGGCAGGGTTTAAATGAAACTTATAAAGAGAGATCATTATCATACCTAGTTGTGTATGTCGCCAGCTTGTTCTGCCTCGCTGCACAAAATTGTTGTATCTCCGTCTTCTTGCAATTAGTTATGTTTGTTTATAAAGCAAAATTAAGGGGAATAGGATTCATTTGAAAACCACAATTGCTTATTTAAAATATCATTTGCAATTGCTGCTACAATTTTGTTAATGTATAAAAGATTTTTGAAGGCAGAATGGTTGCCCTGTTGTTTCATTTTAGTTTGATAACAAACTTTTATAGATCTTATTGAGAACTTTTAAGTACAGAATAAATTAATCAAATCTTATTCTACATTGCTAATGATAGGAGGCTCTAGTCCAGATACTGCTCTAGTCATGTAATGGTGTTTAAAGCTGCACGCCTTTAGGTGAGCAAAAATATTTCGATAAAATCAAACCTGAGAAAAATGTACTAAGACTTTAGGAAAAGCATAAAGATTCAAAGTTCTGGTATTAATTTACATGTTATGTGCCATTAATGATAGATTTTTCAGTATTTATAACTATATTTCTACTGCGTTACTAACGCAGTAAGGGCTATTTCTGCATATTTTGACCTCTTTATGGTAATTAACATGGGTTGAAAGTGCCATTGATAATGTGTAAATTGCATTCTTTTGGTAACTCCACAATATTATACTTTTAAATACATTTTCAAATTTTCATGAAATTTGGATTCAATCTGGAGGCGTGCTGCTTTAATAAACAAAATTTGTAAGGTAACTTGAAATAGTTCAGTGATATATGACCAATATTTTCTTGCAATACTGTTAACATACATCTTAGCCACGACTCAAGGAAAAGCGAAATGCATGTGAATGAAAAATGGTACCAATATTAAAATGAGTTAGATAATCAGAAATTAGTCTAAAGAGATGCACAAAAGATCATGACAGTGCAGAATACAAATAGTTAAACATTTTCGGGTAATTTCCATGCTTGTTCCTGTGATGTCATCATGCGTCACTGGTCTATTTTTAGAAATGCCCATGACTTTTGGTAAAAAAAGCATACCATTTCTACTTTTGGCAGTCGTATGTTTTTGTTACAAAAACCTCCAAGCCTTCTAGTTTTTTTTACTATAATTTAAATAATGTTTTAATCATGCTGCATAGAAGAATTATAAGATTAGGACATTAACGTTTTTTTTTCAGATATAGTTTGTTCGAATGCATCAATCACTCAACTTAGACAACATATCAGACGATGCTTTGTTTGAATCAGGGACAGGTAGTTGGAACCTTAACTCCCAGCAGGGCAATATTTCCCCCCAGCAACAAACATTAGCTGATAGAACAAACACAATGGATTTACATTTGAGGGCTAATAATAGAATTGTTTCACATACTGAACATCATGATCACCAGGGACTGGGAATTGAACATCAGGATCAGCAGAGGCTTGGTTTTGAAAATCAGGATAGACAGAGGCTTACTGGACAATGGCAGGACAATAGAAGGGAACAGGTTTGTGTTTATTTCTTTGTAAGAAACTAATTAAATATCATTGTTTGAATAATTTCATACAAAAAATAAAGTAAATACACAGAAAATATCTGTATTTATTATGAAAGATGCCACTACGGCTGTTTTAATTTTATTGATTTTCTTTATAAACAATTTATTTTTTTGAAAAACTTACAATATTATATTAATAGAGAATAACATGCTACTGTCTTTTGATATCGATTTTATCAGGTGAGGCTGATATGGGCTAGAAAGGGCAAGGATTGCCGAGCCCTTTCTGCCCATATCAGCCGAGTCTGATAAAATTGATATCAAAAGACAGTAGCATGTTTTTCTATTTATCATGTAACACATAATAACTGTCAAAATAACAAAATAATCTACATGTACTTTTAAATAGCGGATTTCGTAAAAAGTGGGATTTTTCTTCAAAGAAATAATTCTTGAAAACAAATTCTTCCGCCCCTGAAACTTAGAATTTGTAAATAGCGGCCATTTTTTCTTTCGACTCGGATAAAAGATACAACAGAATATATGCCTAATACGATAAAATTCTTACCTTTAAACAAAAATCCACTAAGAATCACATAAACTTAACTGCAATTTTTGTCTTGAATTGTCAAATTCAAAAGTTCACGATAATTTCAATCAAAGAAAAGTCAAATCGGCAATCAAACACAAGCTACACAAACATGCTTCTTATTTTTCAAACGAAACAATGTGTTCATTTATGAAATAATAATCCGGCGAAATAAAGTAAACATTTACAAGTTATAAAAGTAAATTGTTATGATTACATGTATAGTATGACGTGAACATCGATGATGTCATTTGCAATATAAATTATGACGTCACTTCATTTAGTTGGTGCTAAAACTATTCGCTATCTAAGTTATTCGTAATTGAAATCGAAATAATAAATAAATAAATATCACTTCTTGGTTCAAGACTTGTAAGGGTATGAGATTGCATTGTAGAATTCACATGCTGATGAAAATGAGAATATAAGCAATTGAAAAAAAAGTCCGTTAAAATGGGAGGGGCTTATTTTTGATATCAGGTTACTGACCTGATATCAAAAATAATTATCAGACAAGTGTTATCGGGCAGTTACCATTAGCAGTTGCATGATAAAAAGAAAATTGATAATTAAATAATTTTATTGATAACATATCAAATTTTTTCACCTTACTGTAAATGGTAAAATTATGATAGAAAAAAAAGAAATATCATGTAATTGTGTTATGTACTTCATTTGATGCAATTTCCCAGAGCTTAATCTGTAACGTACTGGAAAACAGTGTTTAGCTAGGTTTTTCAAAAGGTCAATGCATAATGCAATTACTGCTCCAAAATCATGGATTTACTGGACTTATAATCCTGCATAAAAATAACCCTCCCCCAAAACATCTATACTGATGCAGAATTCTTTACCCCATGCATCCAAGAAAATGCATAAAAATAAAAAACTGGCTTATTAGATTCTGCTTAAAATCATAATAAAACAAGTTTTCAATGTGCTAGAACTTTATAGTGTTGCCATGGACAAGTCATTTTCACTGTACTAGTGACTTTATACTGTTGCCATGGACATGTTAAGTCACTGTACTATTGACTTTGTACTGATAATTTTAGCAAAATTTCTTTGTTAGTTTTGCTATTTTTGTAAGCTGTGTTTTTTTGTTATTTTAGCAATAATTTACTGTTATTGAAGATTTAATTTATTGTTATTTAAGCCTGTACTAAGACCACAGAGTCCTCCAGAAAATCTGTTGGCTGTGTTTGATACAAGAAATGATCAGCATCAACAGGAACATGACCCTGACAATGGTGGAGCCAGAGCCAAGACACACAGAAATAAAGAAAACAGAAATAAAAATTCTTCCAAGAAAAGAAATGGATTTGTTGCGAGTAATGTTGAGAAAACTAGTGATCTACAGTTTAGGACTAGGGACCAGACAGCGGGCTGGGAACCAAGCTTACAGTTGAAGCGATACAGTGATGACGATGACGGGAAAAATTCCGACACTACCTACAGAAAAGTTATTAACCAATCAAAACAAAGGAAACAGCATATAAATAAAACTATGATGAAGAGTCAGAATGAGGACGTACATGGTTCAAACGATAGTAGCAGCGACTCCTTAATAAACGTCGCACGCATGCCATTACCAGCCGGTTTAGATCCTGTGTGTAATCCCCGTAATATCAGCAATATTTATGTTAAAAATACCAATAATTCAGATCAGGGTGGAGACATTGACATTGGTAATGACCTGGAGACTGATTTCTATTCGGTACATCACAAAGATAGTAATAGACAAGGTAATACGAGTCTTAAGCTTTATGAAGACTCTAATGTTAAACATATTCATAATAATCTATGGGAAGGTCAGAATAAAGATAAAAACAGGGGGAATCCAAATATAGCTCATATTAGACTTGACCAGCCTGGAAAAGGTACAGTGCAGCTTGTGAAGAATATTGCAGACGGTGACAACACAACTGTTGTTAAGTTAGCCAATCCAGTACCCCTTCACCGAGCATCATCCGACTCTGGTTTGAATACAAGTATCGTGGTTCCTTATGAGTTAAGTGGTTCTGCGGATAGCTTGATGCAGTTGAACGGTGCATCAGCTAGCGCCGGCTCTTCACCTCATAATCTGGTATCGTCTTTCAATAATTCGCCCACTACTTCACTGACAAACTCATTAATGACAAGTCCGTTACATTTTAGCGACAGTTTGCCATCAAATCTCTCATCTAATATTCTTTTTGGTGATGGTACGACTATCTCCAATGATTACCTATTGGCACAGAGGTTACAACAACAGTTTGATCAAGAAGATGAAGAACGTCAACGTCGACGGCGAAATCATAACGGTCACATTGAAACATCTTACGATGCTGATGCAGAACGTGATTACAGTATTTCTAACAATCCGAATATTGAGAATCGAACCCTTGACTATATCACTGCCAACGAATATCAAACATTGAACGACAGTCTGGCGAACGATATAGCCCCAGTGTATGATGTCCGGTCTGAAGAGGCTATTCAAGGGAGTAACAGGACTTTCTATATTCCCTGCGAAAATCGTGTTTTAAATAGAGTAGAAAATCAGGAAGAAACTCGGGGAGAAGACGAGGGAGGAGATAACCAGGCTGTTGAGAGAAATAGAGCCGGGGCTATTCCAGCGAGGGCTAGTCCAGCGACAAGGTTAACACGTCAACTTCAGAATGATGAGCAATACCCAACTTTAAGCTGTCCAAGCGAGCCATCACATAGTCAGAGAGAACCAGTCTATATTCCGTATGATGAAGGTAGGTTTCATTCCCTTCCTGCTTTTTAGTTTTTTTAGCTCACCTGAGCTAGCTCAGGGTGAGCTTTTAGGATCATTGAATGTCCGTCGTCAATCCACACTTGTTCGTTAATACTCTAGCTGTCACATTTTTGCATCATTCATCATCAAACTTTGTCAGGATGCTTATCTATGGAATAGCTCAGATGAGTTCGAACATGGGTCATCTCGGATGAAAAACAAGGTCACACCACCCAAATATGGAATAACCTTGTTAACACTGTAGTGGTCACTGTTTTGACTCAATTATCATTAAACTTGGTCAGGATGCTTGCCTAGGTAATTATTCGGATGAGTTTGAACATGGATCTCGGTTGAAAAACTAGGTCACAGGAGCTAAAAATAGAAAAATCTTGTTAACACTCTAGTGGTCACATTTTTGACTCACCTGTCATGAATTTGGTCAGAATGCTTGTCTAGGTAACAGACCTGGGGTAATCATCAATCATAATCATCGATTTTTTAATTGATTACATGATTACACTGTAATCATCATGTAATTGATTACCTTGCTCAAAATTAATTACATTAATTGTAATTAATCAATTACAGCTTAAATTCAGTCTGTAATTATGATTACAATTTGATTGATGTTGATTACTTTCAGATTTTACAATCTGAAACTATTGAAATTTAAATGATTTATTTCACATGTTACAGTTTAACTTATACTCCTTTATATAAAAAAGTAGTAGGTAATTGTTCTGATGAGTCAGGTGAGCGATCTAGGGTAATTGTGTATAAATCAAATGTATCTTGTAAAATGTCTTAATAGACCAAAACTGGTCTTATTGTCTTATTGATTAACTTGACCAAGTGATCAAATGCCCCAATTTTCTTATTAGATACAATGAATATACATGTATTTTCCAATTTTCTTATTGGTAAGCATGAATAAACTTAGCAATTTTTCAGTTACATGTACATGTAGTTACCATGAACAAATTTCCCAGATGAATAAATTTCCCCAAATTCTTAGGTTACTATGACACTTTCTTTCATTTGAAATGTATGAATATCACCTTGATCCCCTAATTCACTATACACTACTGCATTATTGCAAAGTTCATTGCAATGTATTATATTGACCCTCATTAACAGCAATGTATTATATTGACCCTCATTAACAGCAATGTATTATATTGACCCTCATTAACAGCAATGTATTATATTGACCCTCATTAACAGCAATGTATTATGTTGAAACTAATGAAAGTTGTCATTTTAATGGTGTTGAAAACATTACCATAAACATATTCATAGGGCAATGTGTAAGATGTAATTGAATTAAATCTTGTAAAAAATGTCCTTAAATTTTTTAAAATCCTTGAAAAGCCCTGGAACAGTCCTCAAATTTTCAAGATGTCAAAAGAGGGAGCCCGGTGTATAATAAAAATGAAAAAATAAGCAGATATTAAGCTATTTCTAGCACACTTCACACTATTTCCCGTATTACACATACAGGACAGTCAAATACTTCATTACATAATATATGCTCCCTTTGTGGTTGAGGGGTTGCCTTTACAGGCACCATTTTTATCCTGCTTGATCATAAGAGGCAACTTTGAATTTTTGAATTAGTCTATGCATCTCTTATCTCCAATAGGTGAAGTAGTTTTGATCCCAGGTGTTGACACCCGATGTTAGCCAAAATCATCTTTCCTTGTTTGGTGCCAATATGACCTTAACTGTGTTGGTGCGTTGTAAAACCTAATTAAATAAACACAATATAGGCAGAGCATAAAGAAAAGAATGCTTATTTCAGATAAGATATTAATAAGCCAAGTGACATTATTGTAATTTTACTTATGTGCTAACTTAAATTCAGCCTATTCTTATCTTTTTACTTTCTACATTTATGCATAATTGCATGTTGGAAAATGGAAAAAAGTCATCAATTCTTTTTGCATGGTATTACAATAATACACGGATTATCTGTAAAAATTGCTAGTAAAATATTAAATTTGAGCTGCATCACGACAAAACCAACATAGTGCGTTTGCGACCAGCATGGATCCAGACCAGCCTGCGCATCCGCGCAGTTAGATCAGGATCCATTCTGTTCGCTATCAGTTTCTCTACTTGTAATAGAGTTGGTAAGCGGACAGCATTGATCCTGATCAGACTGCGCCGATGCGCAGGCTGGTCTGGATCCATGCTGCTCGCAAACGCACTATGATGGTTTTATCGTGACGCGGCTCATTTCATTTTGCACAATTCAGGGTTTGAGTTATTTTCATTGTTATCGGGTTAATTTCTTATACATGAATTATATAAAATCATGTTTAATATAGATGCAGGAAGAATAGTCCAGCCAGAACCAGCATTGCTGAATTCTTTAGTGGCTAGAGGGAGTGTTGCTAGGCAACCTTCTGAACAATTAGATGATGCAGAATATGCTAGAAGACTCCAAGAACAACAGGATGAAGAATTTGCTAGAAGATTACAGGTAATGCTGGCATTGTTTGAATGTCAGGGACATTAAGAGAGATTACTTTTAGTCCAGGCTCATTTAGTGAAATATTACAAGTAATGCTGGCATATATAGTGACATAACATGAATGTCAGGGACATTTAGAGAAAAGATTAGTTTTAGTCCAGGCATGTTTAATGAAAATATTAGGGGTAATGTTGGCAAATTTAGTGACATAACTTGAATGTCAGGCACATTTCTTTTAGTCCAGGCATGTTTAGTGAAAATATTACGGGTAATTCTGGCATATTTAGTGACATTACTTGGATGTCAGGGACATTTAGAGAAAAGATTTCTTTTAGTCCAGGCATGTTTAATGAAAATATTACAAGTAATGCTGGCATATTTAGTGACATTTTTTGAATATCACGGACATTTAGAGGGATTACTTTTAGTCCAGGCTCATTTAGTGAAATATTACAAGTAATGCTGGCATATTAAGTGACATAACTTGAATGTCAGGCACATATAGAGAAAGATTTCTTTTAGTCCAGGCATATTTAGTGAAAATATTACAGAGAAAACTAAACAATACATGTCTTACACAATATTTGAAATATACATAAAATATATACTGTACGTATATTTCAAATATTGTGTAAGACATGTATTGTTTAGTTTTCTCTGACAACTCAAGTATTTCTCTGTTGTGAATTTTTTTCCTCTTGTGAAAATAGTATGTGCTCATTAATTACAAACAAAATAGAATAAAGTCCAAAATATTCCAGCCTACTTTTTAATTAAATCAATCAAGATAGGAATAAGAAGTCCCTAATATTCCTACATTTTAATTCAATCATTCGGTATATAAATAGTCCATTATATTCCTACTGTACATTTCAATTGCTCAAGATAGAAAATAGTCCTTAAATATTACTACTATGTAATTATTTAAATCTCTTAAGGTAGAAAAGATAGTCCCTAATATTCCTACTTTCTGTTTCAATCACTCAAGCTAGAAAAAAAATTCACTCAACAAAGAAAATAGTCTTTAATATTTCAACTGTATATTTCATTCCTTGTAGAAAATATGGTCCCTAGTATTCCTACATAATATTTCACTTTTTCATAAGATAGTCCTTTATATTCTGCTGTATACATGTATTTCAATCACTCAAGATAGAAAAAAGTAATACCTAATATTATTGCGGTATTTTTCAATCACTCAAGGTAGAAAAAATAGTTCCTAATATTCCTACCTAATATCTCAATCACTCTACAGAGAAAGTAACCCTATATAATTATTCCCACTGCATGTTTTTCAATCACTCAACATGGAAAAACTATCATTCCTTCAGTCATGCAAGATAGAAAAAAACTGCCTGTAATATTCCTACTTCATTTTTTTATCACTCAAGATAGAAAAAAAATCCCTAATATTCTTGCTTGATATTTCAATTTCATTACAGGAAGAAGAAAGTGAAGCGGATCCACATATAGGACATCACCATGGTAACAGAGTTGCTGTTGGCAACTTTGAGCAGAACAATACTCGTAGAAACTTTCAACCTCTACATACAAGATATGGTCACACCTGGACAAATAGACCATTGAGAGTAGGGCCAGTAAGTGTATCTTTCACTGTAATTTTTTTTCTTCAAAATTTGACTGGTTAAAGGACCATTAACTACTTAAAGATTACATACATTTTAAATTGAATTCAAAACTCAAGTTCCCAAATCAGCAATTTTTTTCCTTTTTCTTTGGGTCCAGTAAACAGACACTTCTGAATTGAAAATACAGACATTTTTTTTCCCAATTCTAGAAGTAAAGAATAAAAAAAGCATTAACATGTACATGTATGGGGCATACTAACAGGCATAATTGAAACATTCAAAAGAAATGAGAATAGAGTCATTTATCTTTAATATGAAAATAGATAAAAGAACAAAATATGATTATGTGTAAACTTTTAAGAAAAAATCCAATCTTGGCATGACGCTGCAAAGTATTTTCAAATAAGATGGTCCTGGACCCATTTCCCAATTATGTGGCCCTGGACCAACTTCCTAATTAGATGGTACTGGACCTGCTTCCCAATTACGTGGCCCTGGACCAACTTCCTAATTAGAAGGTACTGGATCTGCTTCCCAAATTTCAAAAACAAATTGTTGTGCTAAGCTGTGTACAATTTTAGGACAAATGGCTAAACCTGGTGGTTATAAGAAAAAAGTTAGTTAGCATCCAAAAAAATAATGTCTGTAATACATGATATTAAAGATATATTTCACTCAAATTTGATATTCAAAAACACTGATAATTACAGTCCCTTTTGAAAAGTAAAATAAACAACTTTTGAATACACACAGAGAAAATATGTTATGTTTTAAACTCTACACACTACAGGTAATCACAGTAGGATTACATAGTGTCATTCAAAAAACTTAATTTTTAATCGGAAACTTTTATATATTAATAAATCAACTAATATTACTGGCCTCTATGGAGTGTTAGGAAGAGTTCCTGTGATTATTTGTAGAAGAATAAATATGATAAGATATTGCTTCCAAATCTCTGATAAATCAAGACAATGGTAATTTTACATTATTTTCACCGAATCTTGTTTTGAAGGAGTTACATGCCCTTGTTACATGCTGTCACTGTATCATGTTATAGAAGAGTTACTTGCCCTTGTCGATTCTTGTCACCATATCTTGTTTTGAAATGTAACATCATACTTGCCCTTGATACATATCATCACTGTCACAGGCCTTTTTTTTTAATCCTGTAACTGTGTCATGTTAAAAAAGAGTTACTTGCCCTTGTTACATACCATCACTGTAGCCTGGTTTGAAAGAGTTACTTGCCCTTGTTACATCCTTTGAAAGAGTAAAGTGCACTTAAGGACTTTTTAACATGTTATAATATATTTTATTGATTTTTGCATTTCAGACACTAGGTGGAGCAGCAAACAATGTTGTAGACAGTCATGTGCGGAGTCGGAACACATGGGACCGTCCCCTTCAACAGAGATCGGACAACAATGAATTCGGATATTTAGATTCAGTCCATAATCTCCCTGTCAGTGAAGGTAACCTATTTTACTTCAAGTGCCCTGTTGTCAAGTGCCCTCGTACAGTTAATATTTGTCCGCTCGAACTCTGATTGCTCGAATACCTCCCTTCGCTCGAACCCACCACCCAGTCCTAGCAAAATTCCTGTATAATATATATTGTTCTACCGTAGATCAATCGAACACCATTCGCTCGAACTCTCGGACCTTATCCCTGGTCCCTTTAGCAGAAATGTAGTGAAAATCACACCTTTTCAGTCACACACAAAAAGAGAATAAAAGCTACGGATCGGCATGTTCTAAATAAATGACAGCCGGCGACACATGCTTTTAACACCTTGTGATCGTGATAAAGGCAATTAAAGTTAATTGATACAAAATTAGAGGTGTTCTACCCTACTTGTTTGTTATGATAATATTTTTTATTTGCTGTCTTTAGTAACGATATAAAGGCAATAACATGAAATAAGTCAGTAAATAGAAGATGTTTTCCTGGACAGCTTTAATTACAGCTGTGGTGAATTGTAACAGTGTTATCTATAGAATGTTACCTGTACATGTGTTTATTTTAGTAAATGACCATAATAAACAGATTAATATATTTTTAACATTGTTCAACAACTTTGGAAAATGATTGCCTAATCTCTCGAACAAATTTGCACACCAAATTATGTTTATTTTATAGGATATGACATTCCACCAATTATGTTTATTTATAGGATATGACATTCCACCATTTATGTTTATTTATAGGATATGACATTCCACCATTTATGTTTATTTATAGGATACAAAATTCCACCAATTTATGTTTATTTATATGATATGACATTCCATTAATATTTGTTTATTTATAGGATATGACATTCCACCATTTATGTTTATTTATAGGATATGACATTCCACCATTTATGTTTATTTATAGGATACAAAATTCCACCAATTTATGTTTATTTATATGATATGACATTCCATTAATATTTGTTTATTTATAGGATATGACATTCCACCATTTATGTTTATTTATAGGATATGACATTCCACCATTTATGTTTATTTATAGGATATGACATTCCACCATTTATGTTTATTTATAGGATATGACATTCCACCAATTTATGTTTATTAATAGGATATGACATTCCACCATTTATGTTTATTTATAGGATATGACATTCCACCATTTATGTTTACATGTATTTATAAGATATGACATTCCACCAAATTATTTTTATTTATATGATATGACATTCCACCAATTTATATTTATTTATAGGATATGACATTCCACCAATTATGTTTATATATAGGATATGACATTCCACCATTTATGTTTATTTATAGGATATGACATTCCACCAATTTATGTTTATTTATAGGATATGACATTCCACCAATTTATGTTTATTTATAGGATATGACATTCCACCAATTTATGTTTATTTATAGGATATGACATTCCACCAATTTATGTTTATTTATAGGATATGACATTCCACCAATTTATGTTTATTTATAGGATATGACATTCCACCAATTTATGTTTATTTATAGGATATGACATTCCACCAATTTATGTTTATTTATAGGATATGACATTCCACCAATTTATGTTTATTTATAGGATATGACATTCCACCAATTATGTTTATTTATAGGATATGACATTCCACCATTTATGTTTATATATAGGATATGACATTCCACCAATTTATGTTTATTTATAGGATATGACATTCCATTAATTTATGTTTATTTATATGATATGACATTCCAGCAATTTATGTTTATTTATAGGATATGACATTCCAGCAATTTATGTTTATTTATAGGATATGACATTCCAGCAATTTATGTTTATTTATAGGATATGACATTCCACCAATTTATGTTTATTTATAGGATATGACATTCCACCAAGTCAGGATTATTATTATCGCTATCAGAATGATCCGGACTTAATGCTTGATGATTATGGAGAAGATAGACTTGTCAGCATAAATGTAAGTCAGATAAACTTGTCAGGAAATATAATTGAGCCACGTCACGACAAAACCAACATAATGTGTTTGCGACCAGCATGGATCAAGACCAGCCTGCGCATTTGCGCAGTCTGATCAGGATCCATGCTGTTTGCTTACCAACCCTATTACAAGTAGAAAAAAAAAATCTGGAAACAAAGTGATGCCTTGGAAGCATTAATCACAACAAAATTACATAAGAATTGCAGAGTCGGTTTGAAAAACTGATAGCGAACAGCATGGATCCTGATCAGACTGCGCAGATGCACATGCTGGTCTGGATCCATGCTGGTCGCAAACCCATTATGTTGGTTTTGTCATGACGCAGCTCATTTAAGATTTGTCAGCCTTAAAGCTGCACGCCTCCAGAAATGCAAAAATATTTTGATAAAATCAAACCTGAGAAAAATGTACTAAAATTTTAGGAAAGGTATAAAGATTCAAAATTCTTGTAAAAATTTACGTGTTATGTGCGATTAATGACCAAATTTTTCAGTATTTATAACAATATTTCTACTGCGTTACTAACGCAGTAAGGGCTATTTTTGCATATATTGACCTCTTAAAAGTAATTAACATAGGCTGTAAGTGCCATTGATAATGTGTAAATTGCATTATGGAACGTCAGTGGTTCTACTCAGGTGCCTGTTCGTGCCTGAAATAATGCACGGAAGGGCACCTGAGGTCTTCCTCCACCAATAAAGCTGGAACGTCGTGATATGACCTATACTGTGTTGAATATTCTACTGTTATATACATTTTCAAATTTTCATGAAAATTAGCATAAATCTGGAGGCGTGCTGCTTTAAATTGCCAATTATAATTGCCAATATTATTGATGTTAGTAGGGTCGACTTGTAAGAATTATTGTAAGTTAGACAAATCAGCATATGAAAGCTTGGTGGACTTGTTAGTATTCAAAGCAAGTAACAAAGATTTGTCTGCATTAACGTAAGTTAGAAAGACATATTTAAGAGTATGCAATAAAATGAGTCATCTTTAGTCATGCTTATAATTGATATTACTGGATACCTATACATTTTCTGCCTAAAATACACGCAAGTCTTGAAGCACAAATATGCTGCAACGGATAGAAATTTCCGTATTTTTCTTAGTGACAAATACAATACCATATATGGAGGTGCTGGACAATTTTTGATGTTGGGTCCGATCTTATCTGTGTATAACTTAGCCTTTTGAAACGGGAACCAAAATTATTAAAGGCGCGGCCCGTTTTGCAAAAAATACATATTCGTCCTCATGAAATTTTTTCTTGACAGCTACATTTCATTTTCTGAAATTAATAATAGAAATGGAGTATATCAAATATACTTATTACTTAAAACGAATAGGGTACTGTATATAATAAATGTAGCAGCTTTCTGAGGCTTTGTGTCAAGTGCTGTGTGGCAGCTGTAAAATGTTGCCCCGTTCTTCACTTCAGTGTTGTTATATATTTTTCTGGTCACTTGGGATCTTTGATGCCAGCACTTTTAAGTGTTGAGAATTGAGTACCGCTCAAGCGGGTGCTACTAGGGGGCGTGAGGGATGTTGCACATATTCATTATCCCTCATGTACAGACTCAATCAAACCGAGATTGCAATTCTCGTGTAATTTTGTTGTGATTAATGCTTCCGAGGGATCACTTTGTTTCCAGATTTTTGTATTTTGCTACTCGCAACCTTGAATGATTGATATCTCACTTGACCTTGGGTCTCGTGAGATATCAATTTTCCACTGCTGCTCCTAGCAAAATACAAAGCCTTAATTAGCTACTACAACATAATATTCTTTATTTATTATTGGTGAGGGTTTTCACAAGGTTTTTGTTTTTGATATTTCAGCGTGATCCACAGTTGTTAGCTACGTTGCTAATGACAAGAGCACCTGACATGATGATACCTAATCACGTCGATCTTAGCGACTATGAGGCATTATGGGAGTTAGCGGAAAACCTCGGTGAAGTAAGGCGCGTAGGAATGGAGGATAGGGATATATCTGTGTTACCTATACATACATATAAAACACCTTGCTCAGGTGATAATGATGATAATAAAACTGACTGCCTGGTGTGTTTGAGTGAGTTTACGGAGGGTGAGAAGTTGAGAACTCTACCATGTTGCCATATATATCATGTTGACTGTATAGATGAATGGCTTCGAGTAAGTGAATCATGATTTTCAACTTAATTTTTGTCATCTATATTTTACTGTTTTCCCTTATCCCAACAAATGAGTCGCGCCATGACAAAACCCAGCATAATGGATTTGCGACCAGCAGGGATCCAGACCAGCCTGCGCATCCGCGCAGTCTGATCAAGATCCATGCTGTTCGCTATCAGTTTCTCTACTTGTTATAGGGTTGGTATGTGAACAGCATGGATCCTGATCAAACTGCGCGGATGCGCAGGCTAGTCTGGATCCATGCTGGTGGCAAACCCATTATGTTGGTTTTGTCATGGCATGGCTCGTTTTACAGCCAAATATTTACTGTTTCCCCTATGCCAACAAATATTTTCCCCTTAAATGCCACTGTGCAAATCTGTCCTAAGAACCACAAGTTAACAGCAGCTGACTTAGATCAGTTTGTTAATAATTTAGCAGGCTGACAGACTGATGGCGATGATTAAAATTTGTATTTGCTATGTACCTTTGCATGTTAAACGGACTCCACTGAGGTTTTTTGACGTGTCAGAACTAGAATTAATTTTTCGAGATTAATGTTCCATTTGATGAAGGTCTAAACCAATTAGTTGGGTGCAAAAAGTTTTGATCATTTGCTTAATTAGGTTTTTTTTTCAGAATAATTTTTCTAATTATTGTGAACAATATGACCCAAAACTGAAAAGCATTGTACCACTGAAAATTATCACACAAATCAGGCGAAAAATAATGGAATTTTCATTATGTGTAACTATACTTCTATTGTGTTGCTAACACAGTAATGGCATTTTTTTGCATATTTTTACCTCATTTGGTAATTAAACCTGGGTTAGAAGTGTAAATTGCTTCCTTTTGGTTACTATACAATATTATACATTTTAATTTCATTTTCAAAATTTATCGACAATAAGCATAAATCTAAAGGCGTGCTGCTTTAAGTGTCTCAGCTGATATATGTCTGAAATCCAAATTAGTGGAGTTCCTTTAAGTAGGAATTAAATTGAAAATTTAGTTTAATGCATGGCTATGCTTCATTTCATACAAATTACAGGAGAGTGGTTTGATGTTACAAGTAACATATATATGTTATGAAATATTTCCATAAACTTTTGAAACAGTAAAATTATGTTGCTCACATGGTATTATGGTAGATTCTTAAAAGACGGGGGGACTTTGGATTCCTTTTAATGTGAGGAAGCCATTCAGCTAGCTTCCGAAACGTCAGTGGTTCTACTCAGGTTCCGTTCATGCCTGAAATAATACACAGAGTATCACCTGAGGTCTTCCTCCACCAGTAAAGCTGGAACGTCGCCATATGACCTGTATGTGTCAGTGTCACGTAAAACCCAATCAAGCAAACAACCAAATAAAATGTTCTCGAACAAAATATAGTGCTGCTTTTAAAAGTACAGTTCTTAACCATTTAGCATTAATTTTGTGCATGTGCCATACACTCTAAAGAATTTCATTTCATACAGTTATTTCAGAGAAATTTTGTTTTTCTGTTTTTTTCAAAGTTAAGAAAATAAGTTTCGCAGCTAATATAATATCTTTACCACTTTACCTCACAGTTTGATTAAAAAATTTGACTAATAAATATTTTTTATATTTCAGAGAAACGCAATATGCCCAGTTTGTCGCCAGTCAGCTGCACATAGAGATTAACATTGTTACAGGATTAATCTATTTTTAGCAACACATGTGATCTATTTTTAGCATTCTAAGTGATCTATTTTTAGCAGCACAATTGTTCTGCATAGAGAAACTCAGGAACTTGGTAAATCCCTTCTTATCTTGAGGTACAATATAGAGGATATTTGTTTAGTTCAATGTAAAATCGGAATATATTTCACCGTGCGCGCACCAAAAGGTATATTTCATGAGTGGCGCAGCCACGAGTGAAATATGAACTTTTTGGTGTTCACAAGGTGAAATATATTTCAATCTTACACTAAACTAAACAAATTTTCTTTTTATTACATGCAAAGAAACGTTTTATAAAGACATTAAACCTAATACTGAATGAAAAACGTCCAAAATAAAACAACATGACGCATTTAAAACGTCATTCTTTAATTTCTCGTCCCCGTACTTGTGCATGCTGTATTTATTTAAAACAAATAGGGCTTAAATTCAAAACAGTGAAAAAATCATGATATATCTCTATAAACACGAAAAGCATGTAAAAATAATAACTTTTGTACCCCATGATTATAGGAAACCACTTTTACTGATTTTAAAATATCATTATTAACAATATGTTATTATTTTACTTCTAGTGATTATTATAAAATTTTAATATTTTTTTTTACAATTAAGGGATATTTTATAAGCAACAAAAATTGTAGAATTTTAACTCCCCAAACAATGTTTTTTTATAAGTTAAATTTTTGGTTTATCGTAAACGGGTTTTTTGATATAAAGTCACGCCGAGACGAAATAAGTAGTGCCCCAGATGGATGCAGCCCCAGTCTGTGCATCCGCGCAGTCTGATCAGGATCCATGCTGTTTGCTATCAGTTTCTCTACTTGTTATAGGGGTTGGTAACCCGTTACAGCACTAATCGATCATTACTCCAGTTTTTCTTACCTTATGTTATGTAAAAATATTTTTAAATTATTGTATTCATTGTGATAGAATAATCAAATGAGCCGTGTCACGACTAAACCATCATAATGTGTTTGCGACAAGCATGGATCCAGACCAGCCTGCGCATCCGCGCAGTCTGATCAGGATCCATGCTGTTCGCTTACAAACCCTATAACAAGTAGAGAAACTGATAGCGAACAGCATGGATCCTGTTCAGACTGCGCGGAGGCACAGGCTGGTCTGCATCCATGCTGGTCGCAAACCCACTATGTTGGTTTTGTCGTGACACGGCTCAAATATTTTACTTGTATTTGTTTGATGGACTGTATGAAATTTTTTCATAAAATAATCTTGTTGATTATAGTCAGTAAATTGCCATTACAACATTTCAACAATACAAATCAAGCTATTCATTGTATATGTGTTAAATATATATATAATTTATCACGTATCCATGCAGCTTTTGAGAGTCCGCAAAAATGGTATTGCATGGCTGTGCATTTATTTTAACATGAAGTCATTTGCGTTATACAAATATAACATAAAGATTCACTAAATGTAAGTGTTACGCTATAGAGGCGGGGCGTCAGTAAAGGGGCGGGGCATCAAAAACAAAAAGGATTAGTTTGGTTATTTCACAATATTCAACAAACATTCAGATACATTTTCAAAATGTTCATGAAAATTAGAATGAACCTAGAGGCGTGCTGCTTTAATAAAGATTTGAATAAGCAGTTAAATATTATTGGGAGGTAATTAAAAAAGATTTTTTGCCAGTTATTTTTAGATCACATTGTTATGAAGAAAAAAAATTGACTGGTTATATGGCCCCTGTATAAATGACTGTTTGCATAATTATATAACCTGAGCTACCAGGCCATATAACCTGCAAAGAATCTTTATTTAGAATTTATAAAAGAAAAGAAAATTTGTTTCATTAGAGAAAAAAATGAAACGACTTCATTGATTGACAACAGCAGTGCATATAGTTTATATAAACACAAGGATTAATCGATAGAAAGTAATGTTATAAATGTGCAGTTTTATAAAAGTTAAGGTCTTCTGGACAAGATAATAGATATGAGCCGCGTCATGACAAAACCAACGTAATGGGCTTGCGACCAGCATGGATCCAGACCAGCCTGGGCATCCGCGCAGTCTGATCAGGATTCATGCTGTTTGCTATCAGTTTCTCTACTTGTTATAGGGTTTGTAAGCGAACAGCATGGATCCTGATCAGGCTGCGTGGATGCGCAGGCTGGTCTGGATCTATGCTGGTCGCAAACGCATCATGTTGGTTTTGTCGTGACCCGGCTCATATCATAGCCATGTGATGTGTTTTAAATAAGCTAGTGATTTGTTAATTAGTTTATTATTTTTGTAATTTATTTATTCATTCAAGTACTGGTTTATTTTATAATTTATTATGTGTAATTGGATATTAATACAAAAATTACTGTGCATTTAATTCTATTGATATATGATGTTTTTTCATCCTTATTCATTTTGATTGATGTTGATAATAAGTTTTTAGCTGTCATAGATTTTTATTATTATTTCTTGGCCTGATTGCAAAATTGGCACAGACCAGGGGCTTAGTTTACACAGAACAGTTGTGAAATGTAAGAAGAATGAAGTACAATACCTAGAGCCTAGATATTTGGCATGTAGCAACACCTTGTGGTCCTCAACAAAAGTGATATAAATCATGGCCTATTGGGTCAAAGTTGGCCCAATGGGTCACTTAATTTGTATAGTGACTTATACAGTAAAAAATATTTTAAGATACCTCCTCAGAAACTACAATTCCTATAGCTTAGATATTTGGCATGTAACATCAACTGTTCTGTTCTGATCAACAAAAATCACATAAATCATTCCCCTTTGATCAAAATTGACCCCACCCTGGTGGTGGTGGGGGGGGGAGGTGCACTTAGTTAATAAACACTTGTGTAGAGGAATACATTTTAGTCTTCTTTAGTGAGACTACCATGATAAAAGCTTAGATATTTGGCATGTAACATTGCCTGGTAGAATTGTACAAAAGTTCAAACAGTTATGGCAGACATGCCCTGGGGTCCACAGTTTAAAAAAGTCATAAAAGTCTACCATGAAAGTTAAATGCAAAGAATTTAGACATTTTGCATCAGATTGTGGTGCTCTATAAAAGTTAAATAAATTATGCCCCTTGGTCAAAATCAAAATTGGTTCTTGCCCTAGGGGTTACTTAGTTTATATAGACTTACATAGCAAAATACGGGGGCATCCATGGCCAAGTGGTTAAGGTTGTTGACTTCAAACCACTTGCCCCTCACTGCTGTGGGTTCAAATCACGACAGGGACTTTGGATTCTTTCATGTAAGGAAGCTATCCAGCTAGCTTACAGAACGTCAGTGGTTCTACTCAGGTGCCCGTTTGTGCCTGAAATAATGCACGGAAAGGCATCTGAGGTCTTCCTCCACAAGTAAAGCTGACAAGTCGCCTTATGACCTATTCTGTGTCAGTGTTGGTGTGACGTAAAACCCGATCAAACAAACATTGTAAAATACATTCAATTTAGTATTCTTGTGTGAAATAACAATGCTAAAAGCTTCGGTATTTGTCACAAGGCATTTCATAGCAGACATCTACATTTTTTTTTTAAAGTTATGCAGTTTGGGTAAAAAATGACTTCATTACTGACTTTAACATTGAAAAATAGCACTGTATCTCATGTGAGCGATTGAGGGCCATCATGGCTCTCTTGTCTGTTTCTTTTTTTGTTATTGTTTTTTTTTACACCAGCTTTTACCTGTTTTATATATTATACCTTAGAGTATATGCAAATACAGCATTTTTTTTCTTTTCTTTTTACCTAGAATTTTATATCTGAGCCCTAAGGTTCATCATATAATCATGTGTGAGGTGATTTAGCTGAATTTGTTACAGATTTTTACCCAGCTTTAAATCTGGAACAGTCCATTTATAGATTAAATTTCCATTTTAAAATACTAAAATTTATCACAAAAGTATTTGTTATGAATTCTACCAAGCTTTGAATTTGGAACAATTACAGTCTATTTAAAAATTAATGGATTTTCATTTTAAGATACTAAAATTGATCACAAAAGTATTTGTTATGGATTTTACCCAACTTACAGTCCATCTGAATAATAAGAGATTTCCGTATTAAAATACTAAAATTGAGCTGTCAACATGAAAGAATCTGGTCCGGCTGCACAATTTACTGGTATATTATCTTCAGCCTGGCTATAATACTGCATGACAAACACTAAATAAGTAACAGTGTTCTGTTAGATTAATAGCCAAGGAGGTATGCAGACTTAAGTTAATAAATATCAATAATTAAAGAAAACATTGAATTTTTTTATGCAAAAAATGTCAGAATTTTCATTTTTTTTCTCTCCAAAATTCTAGTACCAGTGTTACTTCCGTTATAAGAGATATACATGTATCTACAGTCATGTTTTGACAAGTTGTCTGTAATTTCCCACACTCTGAAATACTAGTACCATAGTCATCATTGTTTAAGATATATGAGCCACGTCACAACAAAAACAAACATAATGGGTTTGCGACCAGCATGGATCCAGACCAGCCTGCGCATCCGCGCAGTCTGATCAGGATCCATGCTGTTCGCTTACAAACCCTTTTATAAGTAGAGAAACTGATAGCGAACAGCATGGATCCTGATCAGACTGCGCAGGCTGGTCTGGATCCATGCTGGTCGCAAACCCATTATGTTGGTTTTGTCGTGACGCGGCTCAAATGTACTTGACAGGTAAAAGTGACTGTTTGATGAAAAGATGGAGCTCAATTAGCTGACTGATTCGCAGTCGTTGGTCACGTTGAGCAAAAGTCGCTTAATACAAAAAAGATATATAGAGAAAATGATCAGGGGTAATTTAAAGTGGTCGTATAAGGCAAAAGTTTGTTAATACATTACTGATAGAGAGAGAAAATGATCAGGGGGGAATTAAAAATACAGTGGTCGCATAAGACAAGTTGGTTCATACATATGGGCAAGTTAGACTGTATATCAAGAAAGATAATATATGCCATCACTAGTTGTTGTTTTTATATATATCACAGAATTTCTGTATACATGTTTACAACTACAGTATGTTTTGTTAATGAATGTTTTAAATGATATTAGTGAAATTGAAATAAAATGATTCTTCATAAATCTGTTTATTTTTTATTGTTTTTATTCAAAAAATGAGGCGCGCCATGACAAAACCAACAGTGCGTTTGCGACCAGCATGGATCCAGACCAGCCTGCGCATCTGCGCAGTCTGATCAGGATCCATGCTGGTCGCAAACCGACTTTGTTGGTTTTGTCATGACATGGCTCAAATGTTAAAGGAGCTCTACTCTACCTAAGCTTGACAACATAAATCTGAGCTATAGCCCCAGATTTTTTTATGCATTATGTATACATATTTCATTTGCTCCATTTCTCTGTAACTACTGACTGGATTTCAGTGAATCATTGTAAGAACATTTAATATCATCAGGGGGTATGACTATATCATTTGCATGACCTGATCAGAGCATTAAAGTCAGAGTTATGGCCCCTGATTGGTAATACAGTATGATGGTAAACTGAGTAATGTTTTTGTTTCTGTGCTATTTCTAAGCAACCACTTAGTGGACTTTAAAGAAATTGTGGGATCATTCAATACAAACAAGAGATGCACATATAATTTGCACGACCTAGTCAGACCACTCATCAATTAGTAATGGTATCTGATTAGTTTTGAAGCATGTATACAGATTTATTACATGCTTTTCGGTGGTTTATAGAAATATATCAGTGATATAAAACTGGTAATTTCACTGTTTGAAACAGTGAAATTACCACTTTGATAATTTCACTGTTTTGAATTTAAGCCCCTTACCTTGTTTCAGTGAAATACCAGCGTGCACAGTACTGGGTACCAACTTAACGTCACGTTGTATTATAATTTGGCGCGTTTTCATTCAGTATTAGATTTAATGTCCTTTTAAAACGTTTCTTTGCATGTAATAAAAAGAAAATTTGTTTAGTTTAGTGTAAGATTGAAATATATTTCACCTTGTGAACACAAAAAGTTCATATTTCACTTGTGGCTGCGCCACTCGTGAAATATACCTTTTGGTGCTCACTTGGTGAAATATATTCCGATCTTACACTGAACTAAACAAATATCCTCTATATACACTTATGTTTCCATGATATTTCTCATTTACTGCTTTGTGGATTTTAAAGAAACTTTATGGAAACCATCAATATGAAAAGGAGATGCACATATAATTGCCAGTTAGAATTTTTAACACAGAGTTATGAACCCTGAATAGGTCAAATTATTCTGTAATTTGCTTGAATTTGTATTTTATTGGTTAATTTGTATATACCTTTGCTCTTGATTAAATGATTGTTGTCATACTTGGACATAACATTTGGGGCAACATCAAAGTTATGACCCATTATATGCAAACAGGTAAGTTCATAATATGCAAATATGCTAATTCCTTAAATAAAAAAAGATAGACTGTACTGGTTAGGGACCACTAATACCAAACATCATCAAACCCAGAAGGCCCCGAAAAATTCATGATCTAGTTTCTTTTTTTAGGTTCAGTGGTTGTCAATATCAGTCACTTTTTTTATCTATATTAAATGCACGATTCGTCTATAATGAATAAATTAGATTCATTTCAACTTTTGTAAGCGATCATATTTTAATGTCTATTTCAAGAATGTTGATGTTGAAAATTTGGACTTCGAGAGAGCAATGCCTGACCTCTTTTACAAGTTATAATCATTTACAGAGTAAATAATAGGATATCCAAAACTTCAGCATTTGCTGCTGAAATATTGTATATCATGTTAAAACATTCAAGCTTTTATCTTGATTGAATCAACATCTGATGACTTTCATTTCTATCTGGACACATGGTACTTACTGTATTGTTGATAATTTCTCCTTGATGGGCCTCAGATATAAAGTGTGAACATATTTAGACATAAACTAGTTTGTTAGTTACGATAAACACCTAGCTGTACCATGTCAAAAAAAGACTCCACCCTTGACCCTGTAAGATCCCTACCCTTGACCCGGTAAGAACCCCATTGTTGACCCTGTAAGAACCTCACCCTTAACTCTGTAAGAACCCCACCCTTGACTCTGTTAGAAACCCACCCTTGACTCTGTAAGAAACCCACCCTTGACTCTGTAAGAAACCCACCCTTGACTCTGTAAGAAACCCACCCTTGACTCTGTAAGAACCCCACCATTGACTCTGTAAGAACCCAACCTTTGACTCTGTAAGAACCTCATCCTTGACTCTGTAAAAACCCCACCTTTCACTCTGTTAGAACCCAACCCTTGACTCTGTAAGAAACCCACCCTTCACTCTGTAAGACCCTCACCCTTGACCCTGTAAGAACCCCATCCTTGACCCTGTAAGAATTCCACCCATGATCCTGTAAGAACCCAACCCATAACCCTGTAAGAACCCAACCCTTGACCCTGTAAGAACCTCATCTTTGTCCCCGTAAAAACCCCACCCATGACTCTGTAAGAACCCCACCCTTGATGCTGTAAGACTCTCATCCTTGATCCTGTAAGACCCTCACCCTTGACTCTGTTAGAACCCCACGCTTGACTCTGTAAGACCCTCACCCTTGACCCTGTAAGAAACCCATCCTTGACCCTGTAAGAACCCCACGCTTGACTCTGTAAGAAATCCCACCCTTGACCCTGTAAGAACCCCATCCTTGACCCTTTAAGACCCCCACCCTTGACCCTGTAAGAAACCCCACCCTTGACCCTCTAAGAACCCCATCCTTGACCCTGTAAGAACCCCACGCTTGACTCTGTAAGAAATCCCACTCTTGACCCTCTAAGAACCCCATCCATGACCCTGTAAGAACCCCACCCTTGACTCTGTTAGAACCCCACCCTTGACTCTGTAAGAAACCCACCCTTGACTCTGTAAGAACCCCATCTTTGACCCTGTAAGAACCCCACCCTTGACTGTAAGAACCCCACCATTGACTCTGTAAGAACCCCACCTTTGACTCTGTAAGAACCTCATCCTTGACTCTGTAAAAACCCCACCTTTCACTCTGTTAGAACCCAACCCTTGACTCTGTAAGAAACCCACCCTTGACTCTGTAAGACTCTCACCCTTGACCCTGTAAGAACCCCATCCTTGACCCTGTAAGAATTCCACCCATGATCCTGTAAGAACCCAACCCATAACCCTGTAAGAACCCAACCCTTGACCCTGTAAGAACCTCATCCTTGTCCCCGTAAAAACCCCACCCCTTGACTCTGTAAGACCCTCACCCTTGACTCTGTAAGACCCTCATCCTTGACTCTGTAAGACCCCCACCCTTGACCCTGTAAGACCCTCACCCTTGACTCTGTATGACCCTCATCCTTGACTCTGTTAGACCCTCACCCTTGAATCTGTAAGACCCTTACCCTTGACTCTGTAAGACCCTCACCCTTGACCCTGTAAGACCCTCACCCTTGACCCTTTAAGACCCTCACCCATGACCCTTTAAGACCCTCACCCATGACCTGTAAGACCCTCACCCTTGACCCTGTAAGACCCTCACCCTTGACCCTTTAAGAACATCATCCTTGACCCTGTAAGAACCCCATCCTTGACCCTGTAAGACCCCCACCCTTGACCCTGAAAGAACCCCATCCTTGACCCTGTAAGAACCTCACCCTTGACTCTGTAAGAACCCCACCCTTGACCCTCTTAGAACCCCATCCTTGACCCTGTAAGAACCCCATCCTTGACTCTGTAAGAAAACAACAAAAACTGGGAGTAATATTTGTTAAAAATGTTTTATACAGTATATCAAAGAATCTACAAAATTAAAGCTTGGTTACCTCTGGTCTGATAATAAATAATATCATCTATACATGTATACTTGCAATACATCTTAATTTTTCAATTTGAAAGTACACACAATTAACAGCAAGAAAGAAAAAAAACAAGACAATTCAGTAAGATAAAATTCATTTTTTATATAAAAAGAGAGAAATATATTTAAAAAAAAAAGAAAAAAAAGAAAAAAAAATATGGGAAAACATGATTAAGTTAAAATTTGTAGCAATGGTTCATAGTATCGTACACTGTCCTCATTATATATATTTGTACATGTAGTTTTCAACCTTTAAACTTGACTAACCTATTCCATCAGTATCAAGCCAGGCAAGGGGGGAGCTCTCTTTAGTGCTGGTAGCCCAATTTTTGTATTTTTATATTGAAATTCCTTAAACTTTGAAAACACAGTTCCAAATTCACAAACTAGACAAAAACATTATACTAAGCCAGCAAATTTAATGTAAATTACAAAAACAAGAAACATGCAAAAAAACCAAGGTTTTCAAACAAGAAACCATTCTATTTATTTTTAATTAACAGTGACCTTGACTTTGACCCTAGGGTGTCTGAAAGCAATCCCAGGCAAGGTCTATCCACATAGGCTTCCTATATTCCAAGTTTGGTTAAAATATCTTGTTCCTACCTCTAATTATTGGCAAGAAACCACCTGTAGACACCTGACCAACCAAACCGACCAACCGATCACCCCACCAGTTGTCAATCGGATAACAAAGATTTTCAAAATTGAAAACCTATTTCAAAACTGGATCAAAATAATAATCCAGGCGCATGATTAGATCAGTATTATTTCAAGCAATTATCACAGTATTGCAAGCAATACATTAGTCCCCTACCTCTCAGAACCCCAGTAACATACTGAAGGGCCACTGGCAACTCAATTATGCCACTGAAGGAATGAATGAATGACATGCATGATCTTAAATCTTTTGAGTTCTAAGTTTGTCTGTTCTATAGAAATGTGTTAAGTTTCCCTGCTTAGTAAGGAAATTATGTTTATACAACAGATATTAAAAAGATCCAATTTTCTTGGAATGAATATAACTAATATTTCAATTTCTCTCTATTTTAAGTAAATTTGTTGGAAAAGTTCCAAGTTCTTTAAAAGTGAATTCAGGAAAGAGTTTTAAGGAACAAATGGTTTGACAGACACTCTTGAGGGTACATCTTAAATTCTAACACGACCCGCATTTTTCCCAATTGAACATAGAAGAACCGAAAGTGTATTATTATGCAAAAATATTAAAGCTGACTTTCTATATTTAGACATGTGACGTAATCATTATACATGTACATTTGATGTAACCACTAAAAACCGTCGCGCTGAAAAAAGTATGGAAACAAATCAGGCGCAATTTTGCTTAATATCAAGTATGGCAGCATTTAATTGTTGATGTCATGTTAGAATCCAAATAATATATCTAAATCGGTGATTTTAATAACATCACTGTTTGTTGTTCTGATGCACATCATTATATCACCTTAGTTACGCCCTCATGATATAATTCAGTGACTTTATTGAACGCTAAAATCACAGTTTGGGATATATTATTTTTTAAAAATCCCTGCTTGTTACAAGAATATAACATTTTTAAAAGCAAAATTCTTAAACTAAAGATGAGATAATTCTTGAAATAAATATGCTAGACTTATGAACATTGTCATACATGATGTGAGTGTAACAAAGAAAAAATATCTATAGTTTAAAGAAGATACCATTTACAGTCACAAATAAGAAAACTGAAAAAAATAACAATTTTCAAATATATCAATTATAGTAACAAAGAAGAAAATGAAACAAAAGAACAACAATTTTCAAATAAATTACAAGTTCAAATTGACAATAATCATGGAAAAATAATTATTTCTAGAAAAAAAAATCATTTTCAAAGGAGACATAATTCTGAAAATAGTCAAGTCAAAGTATTAAAGCTTCTCAGACTTGATTGATAATAAGAAACATGTATTGGAGTTCTAAATAGATACATTAAGAAAAAAAGAAGTTATAAAAAAAACACACTTTTTTTAATGAAAATTATAAGTTCCAGGGGTGTAATTCTGATATTTTTGTGCTACAGTTGTAAACCTTGTCACATATGATGTGATTGATGATCAGAAACATATATTTGAAGTTTGAAGTAAATACCTTACAGATCCTGTCATGTTGTAATTAAGGTTATCACACTTAAATGAAATTTTATATATGTATATAATTATGCTTCTAAAACAATTTTCAAACATCGAAGAATATGTAAAACATGTACTGCAAATATTTGTACACTTTATAAGTAATCATTTAAATACATGCATTCATTTTTTATTGAAAAATTTGACTAGAAAAAAAAATTCTAATTACCACCCTTTCTTAACATGAAATGTAAATTCAGTAATATCTTTACAAATAATGCTTTTGGAACTTACAATATTGATAAATCTGCATTTGAGCATTATATTTATGATATAAAATCATGAAAATTGAGTTACAGGATCCTTAAAAAATAAAAAACTTATAGTTAAAAAGCATAGAAACTTGCTTGTTGAGGTCACCAACGCTTGGTGAGAAGGACAGCTCTCAATAGGTAAACCTAAAGTCACCTCTGGTTAAACCAGTAGGGGACTAATAAACATGAACTTCTTAAAACAACCTTCTTGAAAAATAATGAAGAATTATGGAAACATGTCACCATCTAATTTCACACTAACTTTTCATTAACCCATCAATATTAACAATGGATTTATTTTTACCCTTATTTTTGATCCCAATTTCAATCCCAATAATGAGACTAATTTTTGATCCCAATGTCAATCCTAATAATGATCCTAATTTCGATCCTTTGTAAAACCAGTCAAGATTTGTAGATTTTTTTTAGTCCCTGAATCATAACAATCAGTATACATGTAAAATTATCCAAATTGAATTAACGATCAGAATTAGATTATCCGCACATTTTAATATATACTTCTTTGTGTCATATTTATATCATAGTCTAATTTTCTGGTTAGTTATATCAGTAAACACTTGCTGCGTCAGAGATTCGTACTGTCCAGTTTTATTGTTCATATAAAACAACCTGTCTTTTACTATAGTTGGATTAAACCCCTCTGCTTGTAGAGTAGTCTTCTTTAACTTGTGGGTACCTGTATCATAAAATATAGTCATTTAAGGTACCTGTATCATAAAATATAGTCATTTAAGGTACCTGTATCATAAAATATAGTCATTTAAGGTACCTGTATCATAAAATATAGTCATTTAAGGTACCTGTATCATAAAATATAGTCATTTAAGGCACCTGTATCATAAAATATACAGTCATTTAAGGTACCTGTATCATAAAATATAGTCATTTAGGGTACCTGTATCATAAAAATATAGTCATTTAAGGTACCTGTATCATAAAATATAGTCATTTAAGGTACCTGTATCATAAAATAGAGTCATTTAAGGTACCTGTATCATAAAATATAGTCATTTAGGGTACCTGTATCATTAAAAATAGTCATTTAAGGTACCTGTATCATAAAATATAGTCATTTAAGGTACCTGTATCATAAAATATAGTCATTTAAGGTACCTGTATCATTAAAAATAGTCATTTAGGGTACCTGTATCATAAAATATAGTCATTTAAGGTACCTGTATCATAAAATATACAGTCATTTAAGGTACCTGTATCATAAAATATAGTCATTTAAGGTACCTGTATCATAAAAATATATAGTCATTTAAGGTACCTGTATCATAAAATATAGTCATTTAAGGTACCTGTATCATAAAATATAGTCATTTAGGGTACCTGTATCATAAAATATAGTCATTTAAGGTACCTGTATCATAAAATATAGTCATTTAAGGTACCTGTATCATAAAATATAGTCATTTAGGGTACCTGTATCATAAAATATACAGTCATTTAAGGTACCTGTATCATAAAATATAGTCATTTCAGGTACCTGTATCATAAAATATAGTCATTTCAGGTACCTGTATCATAAAATATACAGTCATTTAAGGTACCTGTATCATAAAATATAGTCATTTAAGGTACCTGTATCATAAAAATATAGTCATTTAAGGTACCTGTATCATAAAATATAGTCATTTAGGGTACCTGTATCATAAAATATAGTCATTTAAGGTACCTGTATCATTAAAAATAGTCATTTAGGGTACCTGTATCATAAAATATAGTCATTTAAGGTACCTGTATCATAAAATATACAGTCATTTAAGGTACCTGTATCATAAAATATAGTCATTTAGGGTACCTGTATCATAAAATATAGTCATTTAAGGTACCTGTATCATTAAAAATAGTCATTTAGGGTACCTGTATCATAAAATATAGTCATTTAAGGTACCTGTATCATAAAATATAGTCATTTAAGGTACCTGTATCATAAAATATAGTCATTTAAGGTACCTGTATCATAAAATATAGTCATTTAAGGTACCTGTATCATAAAATATAGTCATTTAAGGTACCTGTATCATAAAATATAGTCATTTAAGGTACCTGTATCATAAAATATAGTCATTTAAGGTACCTGTATCATAAAATATAGTCATTTAGGTTCCTGTATCATAAAATATAGTCATTTAAGGTACCTGTATCATAAAATATATAGTCATTTAAGGTACCTGTATCATAAAATATAGTCATTTAGGGTACCTGTATCATAAAATATAGTCATTTAAGGTACCTGTATCATAAAATATAGTCATTTAAGGTACCTGTATCATAAAATAGAGTCATTTAAGGTACCTGTATCATAAAATATAGTCATTTAGGGTACCTGTATCATAAAATATAGTCATTTAAGGTACCTGTATCATAAAATATATAGTCATTTAAGGTACCTGTATCATAAAATATAGTCATTTAAGGTACCTGTATCATAAAATATAGTCATTTAGGGTACCTGTATCATAAAATATAGTCATTTAAGGTACCTGTATCATAAAATATAGTCATTTAAGGTACCTGTATCATAAAATATAGTCATTTAGGGTACCTGTATCATAAAATATAGTCATTTAAGGTACCTGTATCATAAAATATACAGTCATTTAAGGTACCTGTATCATAAAATATAGTCATTTCAGGTACCTGTATCATAAAATATACAGTCATTTAAGGTACCTGTATCATAAAATATAGTCATTTAAGGTACCTGTATCATAAAATATAGTCATTTAAGGTACCTGTATCATAAAATATAGTCATTTAAGGTACCTGTATCATAAAATATAGTCATTTAAGGTACCTGTATCATAAAATATAGTCATTTAAGGTACCTGTATCATTAAATATAGTCATTTAGGGTACCTGTATCATAAAATATACAGTCATTTAAGGTACCTGTATCATAAAATATAGTCATTTAAGGTACCTGTATCATAAAATATAGTCATTTAAGGTACCTGTATCATAAAATATACAGTCATTTTGTTGTACAATAGTGCCATCTAAATGAATTTTAAAACAAGTTAACTTGCTTTGACAAATTACATTATAAATATAAAAGACAGAAAACTAGAAATGTGTCCATAAGAGATTAAGACACTTCTCCCCTTTCACTTCTCCTTCATTTGCTGCCACACAAGCATATTGTAATTACTTATGCAAGTTTCATAAAAATCAATAGTTAAAGTATTACACTTTTTTTTCTGATTTTAACACATTTGTGAACATATCTTGGTGGTAAATCTACCTAACTAGCTTTCCCTGGATAACTATCAGGTAATTTCCTTTGTTCTACACAACTGAGTGATTATTAACCCTACATGGTTTCTGTATCAGCAGGGGATGACAAATTGTCACATTGGTGCAGTAACGGAATAAGATCTTCTAAATATAATAGCAGTTTAACAGTTATTGCACTGAGGTGACGAAATAAACTCAATATATGAGATCAATTTTCGAGGAGAAATTACGACATTCTCCCCTAAGTAGATGGACATATTAAAGCTGCACACCTCCAGATGAGCAAAAATATTTCATGAAAATCAATATTGAGAAAATGTTCTAGAATTTTCAGAAATGTAAAAATATTCGAGATCAAATTATATTTTACATGTTATGTGCGATTTAAGACTGATTTAGCAGTATTCTATCACCATATTTCTACTGCATTACTAATGCAATAAGGGCTGTTTTTCCATATCATGGCCACTTTTTGGTAATTTTCTTGGATTGTAAATGCCGATTGCATTAATTATGCAAATTGCTTTATAAGTTCACCTCACAATATTTTACTTTTAAATACATATTCAAAATTTTCATGAAAATTACCATGAATCTGGAGGCGTGCTGCTTTAATGTTGTAATATTAAAGACTATTATTCTATATTATGTTTGTATGATTGTATTACTCTAATCATTATGATATAAAACTCAATGACAATACCTGTAGTATCAGCAGCTTGTCTCATTAGACGTATAAACAAAGGTCTCGAATATGACGGCAAAGATTTCTGCAACGCCATACACAGTTCCATCAGATTTATCTGATCATTTGGATCAACAATTGCTGCCATACCAGCACGTCCTTCAGACCCTAAAAACATTAAAAAATATACAGTCTAACTTGCCCATGCGACCACGTGTATTAAGCGACTTTTGTCTTAAACGACCACTTTAAATTCCCCCCCGATCATTTTCTCTCTATATTTTTAATGTATTAAGCGACTTTTGCTCAACGCGACCAGCGACCGCTAATTAGTCACCTAATTGAGAGCAATCTTTTCATTAAACGACCACTTTTACCTGTCAAGTAATTGTGTTTTTAGAGACCGCCGCCTCGTAAAGTCACAAGTGTCAACAATCAAAACACAACAAATAAATGTGTGAAAAACTCTATTTCTCAAACCGTTTTAGTGTAAGCAAATGAAGTTAAGTATACACGTGACGTGTATTATCCAATAATATCGATTAAACAATGCAACGCTCCGCTCCTACTGATGTGGTGTATACGCTTCGCTTGTTGACATTTAGACTGCATTGAATTGACCTTGAACTTGACCAGCAATTATAGTAGATGTAGTTTGTTTATTTCGAATGAAAAATGCACAACAGAAACATCTTCACTCTAGGGTTTTTGTGTTGGAGACAAGGAAAAACAACGGAGAAGTTAAAAAATTCTGGAAAAAATGTCAAACATGTACGTAATGGATCAAAACTGTTTTGTCAATAAATAACAGCAAGTTATTTTTATATTGGCATCCATTTTGATTATCGAGCGTACCAATTATTCAACATTTATGTAAAAATGAAGTTGTTAAACAAACATTCCCACCGCATCAGAAAGATGTCATTTGTAAATTTTGACTTTTATGTCATGCTTTGCCTTAAGAGACCGTTTCATTAAGCGACCGTTTTTGGTGTTTCCCTTGTGCGGTCGCTTAATACAAGTTTGACTGTATATAAGTTCTTGTGTTTATTTTTCAACAACACACACACTGTAGAAAGAGCAGACCATTCCATATTATTCAGTGCTTAGTGATGATAGTTAACCTTGACCTTTGACCTTTTGGCCCAAATTTGGTATGGTATTAAGGACTCTTCAAGGTTAATCTACACAAAAAAGTTTGATGTTCTAAGCTTAATACACTTTCAGTGACCTTGACGTTTGACAGGTGTGACAGGTAGAACTGATCAAGCTGCATACATATACCAAGTTTTACATAAATAGCATTGTTAGTACTTTGGTACAGTGAAGTAAATGCCCATAAATGAAACTTGACCTACAAGGTCAACTAACACTTCTGCCAAAATAGGTCAAGGCAATAGCTCCAAAAATGTGCTACAAAGGAAGTCTAAACAACAGCTCTCGTGTCAAAACCCAGATAACATCATATATTATTTATTACCACCCTAAATGTCTTCAATGGACATGTCCATCTTTGAACCTGGTTTTAGGGCCAATTTTAACCCTGTCTGGTTTTAGGGCCAATTTTAACCCTGTCTGGTTTAAGGGCCAATTTTAACCCTGTCTGGTTTTAGGGCCAATTTTAACCCTGTCTGGTTTTAGGGCCAATTTTAACCATGTCTGGTTTTAGGGCCAATTTTAACCCTGTCTGGTTTTAATGCAAATTGTAACTCTGTCTGGTTTTAATGCCAATTTTAACAGTGTCTGGTTTTAATGCAAATTTTTAACCCTGTCTGGTTTTAATGCCAATTTTAACCCTGTCTGGTTTTAATGCAAATTGTAACTCTGTCTGGTTTTAATGCCAATTTTAACAGTCTGGTTTTAATGCCAATTTTAACTCTGTCTGGTTTTAATGCCAATTTTAACCCTGTCTGGTTTTAGGGCCAATTTTAACCCTGTCTGGTTTTAATGCAAATTGTAACTCTGTCTGGTTTTAATGCCAATTTTAACAGAGTCTGGTTTTAATGCAAATTTTAACCCTGTCTGGTTTTAATGCCAATTTTAACCCTGTCTGGTTTTAATGCAAATTGTAACTCTGTCTTGTTTTAATGCCAATTTTAACAGTCTGGTTTTAATGCCACTTTTAACCCTGTCTGGTTTTAATGCCAATTTTAACCCTGTCTGGTTTTAATGCCAATTTTAACCCTGTCTGGTTTTAATGCAAATTGTAACTCTGTCTGGTTTTAATGCCAATTTTAACAGAGTCTGGTTTAAATGCAAATTTTAACCCTGTCTGGTTTAATGCCAATTTTAACCCTCTCTGGTTTTAATGCAAATTGTAACTCTGTCTGGTTTTAATGCCAATTTTAACAGAGTCTGGTTTTAACGTCAATTTTTACCCTGTCTGCCTTTAATGCCAATTTTAACCCTGTCTGGTTTTAACACCAATTTTAAGCCTGTCTTGTTTTTATACCAATTTAAACCCTGTCTGGTTTTAACACAAATTCTAACCCTGTCTGGTTTTAACACCAATTTTAACCCTGTCTGGTTTTAATGCAAATTGTAACTCTGTCTGGTTTTAATGCCAATCTAAACCCTGTCTGGTTTTAACACAAATTTAAACCCTGTCTGGTTTAAACACAAATTCTAACCCTGCCTGGCTTTAACACAAATTTTAACCTTGTCTGGCTTTAACGCCAATTTTAACCCTGTCTGGTTTTAACACAAATTTAAACCCTGTCTGGTTTAAACACAAATTCTAACCCTGTCTGACTTTAACACAAATTCTAACCCTGTCTGGCTTTAACACCAACTTTAACCCTGTCTGGTTTTAACACCAATTTTAAGCCTGTCTTGTTTTTATACCAATTTTGACACTGTCTGGTTTTAACACAAATTTTAACCCTGTCTGGTTTAAACACAAATTCTAACCCTGTCTGGCTTTAACACAAATTTAACCTTGTCTAGTTTTTAACGCCAATTTTAACCCTGTCTGGTTTTAACACAAATTTAAACCCTGTCTGGTTTTAACACAAATTCTAACCCTGTCTGGCTTTAACACAAATTCTAACCCTGTCTGGCTTTAACACAAATTCTAACCCTGTCTGGCTTTAACACACATTTAAACCCTGTCTGGTTTTAACACAAATTCCTAACCCTGTCTGGCTTTAACACAAATTCTAACCCTGTCTGGCTTTAACACAAATTTAAACCCTGTCTGGCTTTAACACAAATTCTAACCCTGTCTGGCTTTAACACACATTTAAACCCTGTCTGGTTTTAACACAAATTCTAACCCTGTCTGGCTTTAACACAAATTCTAACCCTGTCTTGCTTTAACACAAATTTAAACCCTGTCTGGCTTTAACACAAATTTTAACCCTGTGCCATACCTGTATCATAAAACTCTGTGTATGTTAACACCAATTCTAATACACAATTTATGTTATACAAGGGAGGTTTATTTTCCTGTAAGTGACAGCCAAATCACTGTACATTATAGCAGGCAAAGGTTTAAACTACAATGCTATTTGGTTTTTCTTTCAATATAATTATGAAACGATATTTACCTGGGACCTCAACACCATACACTACAGCGTCATTAAGTTTGATTATTTTACTAATTGTTGTCTCCACTTCAAACGTGGATACATTTTCTCCGCGCCATCTGAAGGTATCTCCAGTACGATCTCTAAAATGCATGTAACCGTATTCGTCCATGACTAGAACATCACCTTGTATATAATAAAGAGATATTTTAAATAATACATTAATCAAATAAAAATGTGATTATTTTACACAATTATAACCTCCTAGGAATCAAAACAAATTAAGTTAACCAGCATAATTCCCATATTTCAAATAACAAATACATATTAAGGACTAAAAGAAGAAAACCCCAACAAAATTCACTGAAAAATAACAAATTTATGGCTATTTTCCTATGATATCTAATTTTCTAAATGATTTACAATAAATCCCCTACAGTGGCTATTAACAGTCCAAGGGAGATTACTTGAATTAATCATTCTTGTACTAAATTTCTACTACATTGTGATTCTAACAGATATAATTAACCTGAACACGTTAAGATATACCAAATTATAATTATAATATGTTTATAAGGCGTTTTGGAATAAAACCAATAAATAATTAGTTAAATCATGTGTTATGATAAATTATACAGCCAAATATATACAAAATAACCAAGTAACAGGAGTTATCTACTCACCCCATTGAATTAAACAACAAACAGATTATATCTTTTGCTTTACAACCTTTATGTTATTTCTGCCATTAATACAATGTAAATATAATAGTAATAAGGAATATAGAACATATATGGGTTAGATATTGAACAATCCTTGGTCAATGTGTACAAATTTCCCTCATTTTTCATGTAATTAGACCTACAGAGGATATGACATTAGTCACAGCAGTGATTTTCCTACTTATATAACAGACTCCGAAAAAGGGCCTCTTCCCAATTGAAATTTTCTTTAAAATCATGCAGTTTTCCCAAAACTCTGAACTTAAACCTGCTTTTTTCTTCCCAAATTAGCAATTTTAGCGATAATTTTTCCCAAAATCAAGAGGCTAAGGCCTCTTCCCAATTGAGCGAGAAAAATCACTGTCACATTACCAATTTATCCAAAAATAATAATGGAAATGACTGCTTATGGTAACGCGGGGGTTCAGAGACATCCTATGTTGTCCTGCAGATCCATTCCATCAGGGGGAGGATGGCAAAAGACTGTCTCGGGCACCCCGGCGGCGCCTGTTTTTTCAGGGAGGGGGATACTAGTATCCTAAGTTGCAGGGGAGAGGCTCTGTTTGACGTCAGGTTCCCTGGTCAATCCAATATAAAATAGAAATATATCTATTTATTAAATAATAAATCTCATCTTTCTAAAACAAATTTTGATAAAAAACAGGTTTGGGACAGGTTGACCCAAGCGTGTGGACTGGCCAAACATCAGGAAAAAACCGTTCCCAGGCTGCTTAAATGGTAAATTCAAACTGCTTCAATATAATGGAGATATAGATAAACAATTAGTAATTTAAAACTAACCTAATATATACCCTTATAATTTCTCAAATCAAACCAAAGCAAACTAAATAATAAACTAAAATGAGTAAAGAATTTAAACTTAATTTGCATATTAATTAACTGATATATCTATAAGGAATAGTGACAATCATCTAATTTTTATATTGTAAATAATCAAAATTTTAACATAAACAAGCAAATTCGTTGAATTTACATCCCCCGCCGAGTACTGGTTATTACTAACACAACAACTGAAGACATAAGGCTTTATTTATATATTTATCTTGGCATAAACAGTAATATTCTTTGAACTTGATAAATATTCAGGGCAATAACAAAGCCTTAACTCTTTGTTAAATAGTAATATCTGGAAATGCCAATGAGATGTATGCATACTGCATAACTAATCAAGGGCCATAAATCTGAGTTATAAGTGTCTAACCGGAACAAGGCCACTATATGCACATCTCCTCTTCGTATCCCATAAAGTTTCATTAAATTCCAGCCAGTAGTTACAGAGAAGTAGCACGGAAACGATTATTGCTGGTTGTATACTGCATAAGTTATCAAGGGCCATAACTCTAAGTTAAAATGTCTGACCCCAAAAAGGCGATGATATGCCCATCTCCTCTTGGTATTGAAGGTTGCAATAAAGTCTCATTGAATTCCAGCCAGTAGTTGCAGAGAAGTAGCGCAGAAACGAATATTTTTCTATATGCATACTGCATAACTAATCAAGGGCCATAACTCTGAGTTTAAATGTCTAACCCCAACAAGGCAATGATATGCGTATCTTCTCTTGGTATTGAAGGTTCCCATAAAGTTTTGTTGAATTCCAGCCAATAGTTGCAGAGAAGTAGCGCGGAATCGATTTTTGCTTTATATGCATACTGCATTACTAATCAAGAGCCATAACTCTGAGTTAAAGTGTCTGACCCGAACAAGGTGACGATATGCACATCTCCTATTGCTATTTAAGGTTCCCATAAAGTTTCGTTGAATTCCAGCCAGTAGTTGCAGAGAAGTAGCGCGGAATCGATTTTTGCTTTATATGCATACTGCATTACTAATCAAGAGCCATAACTCTGAGTTAAAGTGTCTGACCCGAACAAGGTGACGATATGCACATCTCCTATTGCTATTTAAGGTTCCCATAAAGTTTCGTTGAATTCCAGCCAGTAGTTGCAGAGAAGTAGCGCGGAAGCTATTTTTACTCTATATGCATACTGCATACCTAATCAAGGGCCATAACTCTGAGTTAAAGTGTCAGACCGGAACAAGCCGAAGATATGCGCAATCCCTCTTGGTATTGAAGGTTCCCATAAAGTTTCGTTGAATTCCAGCCCGTAGTTGCAGAGAAGTAGCGCGGAAACGATTTTTACTCTATATGCATACTACATAACTAATCAAGGGCCATAACTCTGAGTTAAAGTGTCGGACCGGAACAAGCCGACGATACGCGCATCTCCTCTTGATATTGATGATTCCCATAAAGTTTTGTTGAATTCCAGCCAGTAGTTGCAGAGAACTAGTCCGGGAACGAAATTCGGACAGATGGACGGAAAGACGAACGGACAACGCCAAAACTATATCCCGCTCCCGATTCCATCGGCGGGGGATAATAAAGTCTAAATGTACAGCACAATATTATATACATGACTTTGTTTATGCCACATTCTTGAGGGGGTCAAAGTCTTGAGCTTGAAATCAAAATCGGATAGTAAATGGACCAATGGCGACATAGGAGACAAGTGCTCTCGACCACTCAGAGAGCAGCTTCTATATCCCGTGTTTGGTATGAAAACATATACTAATATTCGGCAGTTTTTCGACTTATTTTCTAATATTTAGTTAAAAACACACATTATTTCAGTTCATATTGATATATAGTCTATAACTATAGATAATTTCGCCATTTATAATGTATATTTTTTAGCAAATACAGCAATATCTATGTCTAACCTCGGGAAAAGTTCAGGTTTTTCATGAACATGTAAATAAAAAAGAATTGTCTATAGATATCCCATAAATATTACACTGAAAATTTTGTTACAACATTACTTTCGAAAACAAAACAAAAGAAAACATATATAATGGTTAAAAAAACATAACATAACACTTTTCGTACTTCAAGCTCAAGACATTGACCTATGACCCCTTTGGGAATGTGGCATAAACAAGTCATGTATATTATATTGTGCAGTACACTATGTAGAGCATTTAGACTTAATTTATGTTAAAACTTTGATTATTTACATTATAAAAACTATATATTCATCATTATTCTCTATAGATACATTAGTTAGCTTAGTTAAATTTAGATTATTAACTTATTTTAGTTTATTTATTAATTTGGTTTGATTTGTTTGTAGAAATCATAGGAGTGAATATAAGAACTATATGTATATTAAGCTATTAATTGTTTATATATATTTCAATTATTTGGAAGTAGTCTGAATTTAATATTTAAACAGTCCGGGGACAGGTTTTAACCAAATGTTTGGCCAGTCCACTCGCTCAGGTCCGCCTGCCCCCAATCTGTTTTTTTATTGAAATTGTTTTATACAATTGAGATTTTACATTATATATATATATGATATATGTTATTTTTATTTTGGAATAGCAAGGGAACCTGGAGTGAACCAGAGCTCCTCCCCGGTAACTTAGGATACAAGTATCCCCCCTCCCTGATAAAACAGGGCGCTGCCGGGGTGCCCGAGACAGACTTTTGCCGTCCTCCCCCTGATGGAATAGACCTGAAGGAAAGCATAGGATGTCCCTGAACCCCCGCCTTACCAACAGTAGTCATTTTTATACTTAGTTTGGGGTATAATTGGATAATTATATGCTGTATATGTCAAATAACATGGAAAGTGATAGAATATTGTGCGAATTGACCAAAGATAGTCTAATATCTAACCCCGATATATGCTTTATTCATTATTTCTAGTATGTTTACATTACAATAATGCAGAAAGGTGGTGAAATATTATTTATTTCAAAGGGGAGAGTGGATAACTCCTATTAATTGATTATTTAGTAAATATTTGGTAATATAAGCCCTTAAACTGTATATTTGAACTAATTATTAGTTAGATTTATACCGAGAAGTCATTAAGAACATATTCAAATTTAAATTTGGTCTATCCTACTATAATGAGGTTTACTAAATCAGTTGAAGTTACAACATGTAAGAGATTTAGTGCAAAGTGGTTTATTTGAGTTCTTTCCCTTGGACTGCTCATAGTCACTTATTGGAGCTTATTGTATCTGATATAGAAATTGGGGCTTTATAGAAAAATAAAATAACATTTTTATTTTGTTATGAATTTTGTTTGGATTTTCTTTTTTTAGTCATTTATATGTATCTGTTAATTAATATAATAGATATATATTGGTTAACTTGGGTATTTTTAATTCCTAGATGGATATAATTGGGTAAAATTTTCAAATTTTTTATTGATTTAGTTTATTATATCAGTATCTTATGTCTCATAGGAAATTTGCTGATAGTGATACTTTTTTATTTTTCCGTGAAATTTGTTGGAATTTCCTGTTTTATGTCCAGTAGATATGTCTGTTAACTAATATACTATGTTTATGTTTTTTTATTTTGAATTTTAATTGTTTTAGCAAAGCTTTGCCTTTGGAGATTTATTATCTCAAGAAAAAAACAGGTTGCATTACTCTACCCTCTACCCAAGACAAAACATGACCCTCAGAAATTCTTAGAATGATTTCAGATTGATGAGTGACATCAGAATCGGTTTATTTTTTTCAAGCAAACAAGTTTATAAAAAAATCAGGCACTAAGCATTATTCTCTCAAAGAAATATAAAGAGCATTTATCAACATTAACATAAATAAAAAACATTTTCTCATATTAATTTTGTGTTATCTAGTTTTGTAAGTTAATCGGAGTTTTAAACTGAATGACAGGTAGATTCTACTGTATTTGTTTACATTGACAACTGTCCGTTTCTTAGAAAGGGCGACAACCAAGATTAGCACCGATGTCTATACGCCGTTTTTTCCGGCATATTTACTTGAATATGCGACTGAGGCCCTCGAATCAATAAATTTCAATATAACAAGAGCGCATGACTCTTTGGCAAACAGGCAAAATCGTCATTTTTTGTTTGTTTACTGGGCCCTGTATGTGTTGCGCATAGGTGAAACCGGGCTATAACAAGAGCGCGTGACTATGTTAACACATGGTTTTGGTCCCGTTATAACATGGGCAAAATAGGGAAAAATAGCCGATTTTATGCTATAATACAGTTTAAGAGATGTTTAATTTAGGTGATTTGGCAAATTTCTTGTAGAAAGGTATGCTGTATAGGAGAATTGCTATAACTTTTTAGGTTTATGAAGGAAGTAGTTGGGATTTTTATTATTTAATCACTAAAATATATATGTTAATAATTATAACAAATTAATTTACCTTATACACTTTTTATTTTTTTCCTGAGAGGTTAAGAAATAGGTATTTAACCCAATTTATACAGAATTTTATGTATATAATTTGGAATATATGCAGTATAGAAAATTGGTTATAACTATTTTGTTTATAATTGTATTATACTGGGGTTTTCTTCTATTGGTCAGTAAGGTATAGCTGTTATTTAGTATTATGTTTCTAGATTATCATATTAACTCTATAAAATTTCATGAGAAGTTAGGATTGTGTAAAATTTCCCATTACTCTGTGATTTTGTGTGCTGTGAAACAATTTATTACATTTATATTGACACCACATACCTGTTAAGAACGCCATGTCACCTTTTCTAAACACATCAGACGCAATCTTTTTGTCGCTAGCTTTCTTACAAACATAGCCATCAAATTGTCTGAGTGGATCTCCAACAACAATTCTTCCTACCAGTTCTCCAGGCTCTCCTGATGTACGAGATAAATGTTAATTTATGATCAATTCATTATAAATTTTTTGTTCATGACATATTTATGATTCATTCAATGTTAATTCATGATATATTCATTATTCATTCATTGTTAATTCATGATATATTCATGTATAAGATAAATGTTATATTCATGATTTATTCTTTTTAAATTCATGATATATTCATTATTAATTTATTTTAAATTCATGATATATTCATGATTAATTCATTGTTAATTCATGATATATTCATGTATAAGATAAATGTTATATTCATGATTTATTCATTTTAAATTCATGATATATTCATTATTAATTTATTTTAAATTCATGATGTATTCATTATTAATTTATTTTAAATTCATGATGTATTCATGATTCATTCATTTTAAATTCATGATATGTTCATGATTAATTCATGAAATATTCATTACTCATTCATGGTTTATTAATGATATATTCATGATTCATTCATTGTTAATTCATGATATATCCATATAAAATTCGTTTTAAATTCATGATCAATTCATTGTTAATTAATGACATATTTATGATTCATTCAATGTTAATTCATGATATATTCATGCTATTTTTATAATTCATTCATGATTCATTCATTGTTAATTCATGATACATTCATTGTTAATTCATGATATATTCATGTTATATTCATTTCAAATTCATGGATCCTTGTACAATGTCACTGTGACTTTATACAAGGATCCAACCCTTTCAAAACAGTGATGTAACATCACATGAAAAGATTGTAAAATTTATAATACTTTCCAGTCTAGGTAAACTAATAAAATCCCCACAGTTTTACCTGGCTTAGCTTTTACACAAACACCGTTCCTGTCTCTCATAATGTTATTATCTTCGTCTACTTTAATCAGGGTCACAGGGTACATAAACGGAGCTATCATAGAGGTGAAACCGCACGCTCCAATGTGATTGGTGAAATTGACTGAAAGATAAACAAAACCAATACAGATACTTTAAAGGGACTCCATTGAGGTTTTTTGATATAACAGGACTGGAAATAATTTTTTGAGATTAATATTCAATTTGTTGAAGGTCTAGACCATTAACTTGTGTGCAAAATTTCAGATCATTCAAACCTCACCCAGTTTTTCCGTAATAACTACAATAAGTGTTTATAGTACTTGACAGTCAAATTGAACAAGCGTTATAGCGCGCTATAAATCTAGATCTACTGAATTATTTTTTGGGGGGGGGGGGGGGGGGGGGGGGGGGGGGTAGGTCTATGAGTGCTATACTGAGATTGAGCGTAATAACGAAGAGCGATTTATCGAGGCTACAGTGTATTCATATTGTAAAAAATGACCAGAAATTGAAAAGCCTTGCAACACTTTTCATTCAAATTTGACTAAGGATAGCACAAATATACAATTTTTGACTTTTGAACTTTTTCTTTTAAATTATCTTTTGCATACCTTTCTGTTTTAATTGCTACATCTAATCCATATATACGAAATCCAATTTTATTTTTTTATACTTATGAAGCTCAGTGGAGTGCCTTTAAAATTGCTGAACATGTTCATTGTTGAAAATGAAATCACAAATTAAAAACTCAATAACATGAATTTGTCTAGTATTGGCATTCACATTTTCAAAGACATTAAAAAATGAGTATTTTGACAAAACTTCACGGAGTAGAAAGCAAAAAGAATCCATGGTAAACTACACAATCGTGCAGTGAACCTTCAACATATTACAAATGACTGACGGGATTTG